GTTAACGATCGCGTTAACGGGTGCTTATTAAAGTTTGTTCAAATTTTAATCATTACCAATGGAAAGAGCATAAAAAAATGTGTCGGAATCCATGAGTTTTATTCCAAATTTGATGTCGGAAAGATATGAAAAATCAAAATATTGAAGAAGTTATGGCTTCTTAAACGTTAACGATCGCGTTAACGGGTGCTTATTAAAGTTTGTTCAAATTTTAATCATTACCAATCGAAAGAGCATAAAAAAATGTGTCGGAATCCATGAGTGTTATTCCAAATTTGATGTCGGAAACATATGAAAAATCAAAATTTAATAAGCACCCGATAACGCAATCGTTAACGTTTGAGAAAGGTTAAATTAATTTTGATTTTTCATATCTTTCCGACATCAAATTTGGAATAAAACTCATGGATTCCGACACATTTTTTCATGCTCTTTCGATTGGTAATGATTAAAATTTGAACAAACTTTAATAAATTGGTTTTTGTAACCGTTAAACAATTAACGTTATGTTCTTCAGCTCAATCGTTAAAAAATGAAATATTTTACAAATAAAATTATCGCAATTCTGAAGCTACCAATCGAAAGCTGACCTTATTCCGCATCCAACGAGTCTAATATGAAGTATTTTTGTTTAATAGATTTTTTTATAAACAATTGTAATGACAATAATAATATGTAATAATAATAATTGTTGATTGTCATTACATTTGCTTATGAAAAATGTATTAAACAAAAATACTTTATTTTATATTAGGCTAGTTGGTGCGGAATTAGCTTTCGATTGGTAGTTTCAGAATTGTAATAACTTTATATTATGTATTTATAAAATATTTCATTTTTTTTAATGTTAATTAATTAATATCTCGAAAACAAAAAAGATATTTTCATATTTTTGGTACTGAAAATATACATTTTAAGCTTTATAGAAAAAAAAATTTTAAAAAGGAAAATCAGACAAGTGCGAGTTACACTCGCATTAAAACCGAGGGTTCCGTACCCTTAAACCTAAAATTTGAGGGGTTTAAAGTTTGAAGGCCTAGATAGAAAACATAGACATATTCATAGACATAAACATAGAACATAATCTACGCATGAATTTGAAAATAAATTAATAAAACTAAAAAAATCGGACAAGTGCGAGTTACACTCGCACTGAAATCGAGGGTTCCGTACTCGAAGCGAACTTATTTGGTATAAAAACAAATGTTTAAAAAATATGTGTTGTATGACAACTAATACAAGTGATACAAAAAGGAACAATTTTGTAAAATTCAAGAAAATTGTTCCTCTTCGTATCACTTATATTAGTTGTCATACAACACATATTTTTCAAACATTTGTTTTTATACCAAATAAGTTCGCTTCGAGTACGGAACCCTCGATTTCAGTGCGAGTGTAACTCGCACTTGTCCGATTTTATTTTTTAAAAAATATTTTACTAAAAAAATATAAGAAACATAATTTTATTTCAACTCGCAATATTTTTATTGTATTTACATTTTAAAAATATATTGAATATTAAATTTTATCTTTCTAAGTCAAAAAGAGATAAAACTTAAGATATTGATATAAGGCTAGTAGCTGCTTGTCAAGGAAAAATCGAAAGTTATCTAAAAAATAAAAAATAAAATTTGTTTATTAATTCCAGAAAAATCAACTCCAATCATCCTCGCTATATTTTTTTTGTAATCTACACGTAAAAATACGTCAAAATATATAAATTTGAATCACTGTAGAAAAACTTTTTTCGTTTTTTGCGGAAAAATACATTTTTTTCTGAAATTTATCATTTTTCTTCAAAAATTTGATAAAAATTGATCATCAACTCCAATCGCGCTTACATTTTTTCCCTATATTTTTCACGCAAAAATTGAGTTTTACAGCAAGTATGAACAGTCTGGATTGAATATTGTGTGCGCTAGGGAGAATAAATCATTTTTTTCGAAATTTTTGATTTTTCCTTGACAACGCTATGTAAATTGATCCGAATCAAGTTCGCTATAATTTTCCTGTAATTTTCACGTAAAAATACGTAAGTGTGTCAAATTTGAGCTCTTTATGTCAAAAGATGTGGCCGCTAGGGGGGGTACATACTCATTTTTAGGTATTTTTCGTAAAAATTCATGGTTTTTCCTTGACAACGCTATGATAATCAACTCCAATCATGCTCGCTATATTTTTTTTGTAATCTACACGTAAAAATACGTTAAAATATATAAATTTAATTTCCTTTAAATAAAATTTTGTTCGTTTTTGGTGGAAAAATACATTTTTTTCCTAAAATTGTCATTTTTTCTTGAAAAACTTGATAAAAAGTTAATCATCAACTCTAATCGTGACCGCTTTTTTTCCCCTGTATTTTTCCCGTAAAAATACATTTGTATACTAAATATGATCTGTCTGGGTTGAATATTGTGTGCGCTAGGGAGAATAAATTATTTTTTTCGAAATTTTTGATTTTTCCTTGACAACGCTATGTAAATTGATCCGAATCAAGTTCGCTATAATTTTCCTGTAATCTACACGCGAAAATACATATGTGTACTAATTTTCAGCCCTACAGATAAATTTATGTGGCCGCTAGGGGGGGGGGTACACGATTTCAAAAAAACCGATATTAATAGGGTAAAAATAATAAAAATATCAAAAAATAAAAAATGTCAAAAGATAATAAAAATAGTAAATGGTAAAAAATAGAAAATGGCAAATTATAAAGAATGGCAAAACACTACAAAAAAATATAGCAAGCACAATTGGAGTTGAAAAAAAATCAAGAATTTGCCCCAAAAAAAGGAAGAAAATTTTATCTTTCTAGGTCAAAAATTGTAAAACTTAAGGAAAAAGTCCACTTTTTAAAAAAATTGTATGTTTTGAAAAAACTCAATTAAAAAATTTTTTTGGTGAAAAATCATGATTTTTATCGAAAATTATCAGTTTTTCCTTGAAAACGCTATAATAATCAACTTCAATCGTTCTCGCTATATTTTTTTTGTAATCTACACGCAAAATTACGTAAAAGTGTATACACTGCGACCTGAGTTTAGCGGCAGGTTTGGTGGGTCGTTCGCTAAACTCAGTAATGAGATTTCCCGAAATCGGCGTCAGCAATCAGGGCCGTAAGAACAACTTGAAATACGAAATCCTTAAACTCTTTTTTTGAAAATTCTTCATCTTATAATACATAATATTTTTATTGCAATAATTATTATAATTATATTTTAATTTTTAGATTTTATTATAATTATAAACAGTAATAAGTAATACTTAAAATTACTTTTAATAAAAATTCAAATAATTGTACTGACATCAGACAAGAAAGGGGAAAAACTCACCATTTGCCTTATAAATTTTAAATTTATTTGAAATTAAATAATATAAATTTCATCAAATATAACATTGAGAGCAAATATTAAAATTAAGATTTTCATAAAGTAAATTTATAAATTTGCTGGGAGTGAAAACAAAAATAAAATTTGTATACATGTATATAAATAAGCTTTTATAATTTATCAAATTTTTTATTTAAAATTAAAGATTAAAGAACCTTGTACCTCCCAGACAAACGTCTCCGCTTGGTACTCATTTTCAACTAGAAGGATCCGCGTTGCCTTACTTCTACGCTCCTGCTCGAGTCGGAGCATCTTACGCTTACCGCTTAATTACCATCCTATTGTTGCCGTTTCCGAGATTTCGCTAAAGTCAGTTTCGCTAAACTCGGGTCGCAGTGTATATTTGAAACTCTTTAGATAAAATTTTCTTCGGTTTCTGAGGAAAATTCATGCTTTTAAACGAAAATTATCAGTTTTTCCTTGAAAACGCTATGATAATAAACCCGAATCGTTCTCGCTATATTTTTTCTATAATCTATACGTAAAAATACGTAAAAAAGTATAAATTTGGATCTCTTAGGATAAAATTTTCTTCTTTTTTTATTCGAAAAATCCGTGATTTTTTCTAAAAATATGAGTTTTCCTTAAAAACAATATGATCATCAACTCCAATCGTGCTCGCTATATTTTTCCTGTAATCTACACGCAAAAATACGTAAGTATACCAAATATGAACTGTCTTGGTCAAATACTGTGTGCGCTAGGTGGATTAAACGCTTTTTTTCAAAATTTTTGATTTTTCCTTGACAACGCTATGTAAATTGATCCGAATCATGTTCGCTATATTTTTCCTGTAATTTTCACGTAAAAATACATAAGTGTACCAAATTTGAGCTCTCTATGTAAAAAGATGTGGCAACCAGAGGGGGGGTACATAGTCATTTTCAGGGATTTTTCGTAAAAATTCATGGTTTTTCCTTGACAACGCTATGATAATCAATTCCTATGAGATTCGCTATATTTTTCCTGTAATATACACGCCAAAATACATATGTATACCAAATTTCAGCCCTCTAGATAAATTCGTGTGGCCGCTAGGGGGGGGGGGTACATGCCTTGCTTCACTAGTCTCATTAATAGGGTTCCCCCTTCGGGTACGGAACCCTAAAAAAGTAACTGATTTTGAAAAAAATTAAAAAGATGATTAAATATTGAATGTTTTGGAAAATTTGTTTTCACCATTCGAAATAGCAGGAAAAAACTTTTCGAAAACTTTTAGGTCAAAATTTTGTTCATCTTATTTATTGTTTAAAAATTTTAACTCATAAAAAATTCAGTTTATATTTTTCAAGAAAAATTCAACCCCCTCTCCCTCCTATAATTTTTGATAAAACATAACAATATTTCATGGTTAAAGTTCTCACCCATAGGGCTAAACTATGTGCAAGTTACATTCTAATCTGACCAACTTTTTCTTCCACTTATTGTTAGCACGCTACAGAAATTTTACCCCATAATTTCTGACAGGAATCACTAACTGTCCGAGCTCGGGACCAGGCGTCTCGGTCGCTTTTTGTATAGTTCAAAATAAAAAAATATCACTTTTGTGGAGAATAAAACAATTTTGAGAATATGAATCATATAAAACAGAAAATATGTTAAAAATGTTACCTTTTTGGCGAATTTTTCGACATAGTGTAGATTTTACACCTTCCAAGTGCAAGGGAGATGCTTCTTGACTACAGTCTATTATCGGGACAGTAGTATTATCAAATGGATCTGCACACTTAGGATCGGAATCCGATCTGCAAGACCAGCATTTTATCGACACACCTGTTTAATCAAAGTGAACTGCTGATATACACATTCTTGTAGAGAACACAATCGAGAAGTTCAACACGGTGCGCCTCAACCAGACTCAACCCAAAAGTTTTTGCTCAGAAAAAATTTTTTTCCCGAGAAGGTACATGGAAAATAGAAACTTTTCTCACAAAAATCCAAATTATCTGTGAAGCCTTTTTTGATAACGTTCCCATTGAATATTTTCGCCATTAAAAATACATTTATTTAAATGAAAATAGCGAATAGAAGTTTATTATTGTATTATAGTATCACCCCCGTAAAATTTTGATTTTTTTCACAAATCTGAGCAAACATAAGAAGTGCCCTTATTCCTTTTTACAGTGTGATGAAATTCGTTTAAAAGTGAGTTTATTAGGCTTTTGCAAGAAATAAGAGATGCTTTCATTAACGAAAACACTAAAATTTTAGTCCTAATATTTTCTTAATTCACACTCGCATACAATACGAGACGATTATTATTTCGTTTTGTCAAAATTAATTTGACATACAGAGAGTTGACAACCAAAATTATTATAAGTTCATTTGTTTTTTTTGGCGCGTAGGCAGAAAAAAAGTTTCGGGAAAGATTTTATGTTTGCTCAGGTTCTTCAAAAAAATTCAAAATTTCACGGGGGTGATACTATAATACAATAATAAACTTCTATTCGCTATTTTTATTTAAATAAATGTATTTTTAATGGCGAAAATATTCAATGGGAATATTCTATAATCTACAGATTATTTTGATTTTTGTGAGAAAATTTTGTATTTTCCATATATTTTCACGGTAAAAAAAAATTTTTACTGAGCAAAGACTTTTGGATTGAGACTGGTTAAAGCGCATCGTGTCAATTAATTTTTTATACCTAATGTGTATTAAGAATTTAATACCCGTTAATACAGACCTCCAAAAAAAATATTCGTTTAACGTTTAAAAGATTTTTTATTATTTTATGCGATATAAAAACGGATATGTAAAATATATAACAGGTAAATAAATAATTTTTATAAGTTTAAAATTTTTAATATGTCTAATAAATATTTTCCTGGAGGTCTACATTCCCGGGTATAAACATCCTTAATAAAAGAAAATTAATCATAGTAAATTTTTAAACTTATAAGTTAATAAAATATAATACAAAAAGAAGAATGAATAGAAATTCTTATAATTATAAGAAAAACAGTTTTCATTGATTCATGAGAAATTTTAATTTTGTGACTTATGTTGCTTCGTCATTAACCGATTTAATTCAATTATTTAAAGTAATGATTCATCGTACAGATGGCTTTAATTACACAATAAATCTATCTTATGGTAGAATTGAGCAATTCTCGTACACAATATGATTAAATGTTTGTCAATTTAAAACTGTTACTCTATAAGCTAAATTTTTAAATATTCTATTGGAAAAAAACTGGGCTTTTCAATGAAAAAGGGATTAAAAATTATTTGAAAACAATTTTTTACATTAAAAAGAATATGAAAAATCCTTCAAAACACCTACATAAAAAAACAAACCACCAATTTATATAATACATTGAAATAAATTAGAAATTTATAACACATAATGTAGTATAAGAATGGCGGTGACAAACTTATTAAATTATATGCTTTACAGTACTTTTGCAGTATAATTTTGATCGTAATCATTGAAATAAACAATTCTAACAAAAAGAGTTTTTAATATTTACAAACATTTTTTAAAAACTTATTTTAATTAATTAACTGAATTTAATAAATAAAATTTATATACGAAGTTAATGACCGTAATAATTTATTAATGAGATTTATAAAACAGGCTTATCGGTCAAAAAATTATTTATTTATTATAAAAATAAATTATTGTGTCTTATTAATAAATAAAAGTTTATTTAAATTATTCAGTTTAATTTTTTCATAATAATTTATAAATCAACAAAATATTAAAAAACACATTTAGAATTAAGAAAAAACTTTTTTAGGTATAGATAATATAAAATTAGTATAGGATCCTACTAAAAGATAGGTTATGTATTCAACATGTCAACAATAAAACAAATTATTATTTATTGTAAACAATTGTTTCATACATACAGTCTAAATAAGATAAATTTACATGTTAATATATTTGAAAATAAAATTAATTATACTTTAAATTTATAAAGAAATTTTATAGGTTCATTTTCCAAATTTAAATTTAAGTAAAATATTTACCTTGTTCAATGAAACTTGAAAAAATTAATAGCAACACAATTTGAGAAAACATAATAGTTTTGTTATTCATTTTCGTAAAAAATAACAAAAAAAAATTCAAGAAGAAAAATAAATTATAGTCTTTCTCTTATCACTAGTGCAAAAGAATAAATTTGCACATAAAACTAAACTGATGTTTAGAAACAAATTTAAAAAAATAATTGCAAAATTATAATAATTATAGATAAACGGGTGAACTATTGAATATCACAGATATGTGGTTGCACAGTAAAGCCACGCCTTTACAACGAAAGCCCTATACGCCACCCTAATACATTAAGGCATACTCACACTGTTTACCGAATGCCACTATGCATAGGCCGTTTCCGAATTGGGATTTTTGTCCAAGTTTTGATAAAGTGTACACTCGGGAACAGGGTTGCGCAGTTACATGTAACTCAGAGTTTTCGTCGTAATATACGTCAAAAACGTAATATACGTAAAAAATGTAAAAAACTTATCCAAGATGGCGGATGTAATATAAACATTATAACCTTACTTTTTTATGAAAATTGATGTCAGTAAATGTGTTTCTTATTATTTATTAATATGAATAATTTAACAAAAAGAAGTGTAAAAGGAGGACAAATTCCATGGCAAGAGTTAAACTTTGAACGACAGAAAGTTGGGACAAAAGCTGTCTCTAAATGCTTAATTTGTTTCCAAATTTTTCAAAATACCAGCTACGATCGTCTCCTGACACACCGGTATGTCTTTATTTTACTTTATATCCTTTAATATATATTTCAAGTGTTGCCGAAAATTTTAATTAGCAAATCTAAAAAAATTTTTTTTTTTGTAGAAACGTTTGTAAAGGAAAAAAGGCTTCAAACAACGATGATGATAATAACAAAGTTGCTAACGAAAATCAGGACAGTTCAGAAGTACCATTCAAAAGACGTAAAGTAAGTATGTCCCCTTTAATTAATTACTATAATAATTAATTATTTTTTAGAAATATAATTGTTTTATATATTTATCATACAATAAATAACAATAAGGGTTTAAATATGGATAATTTCTAAATACTCCAATTCATAATGTCTATATATTTAGTTTGATTTTAAATTTTTTACTTTTTGTTAATTTTATCAAAGTAAAGTATTTTTATTTTCAGGGAAATTGTGATTCTGATATTGATAGTACTCCATCATGTTCATCTAGTACTTTATCAGAACTGGATGAACTATTAGCAACGTTTTTTGTAGGATGCAATGTACCATTCTCCGTTGTAGAATCAACATTTTTTCGTAACTTTGTAAAAAAATTGAACCCCGATTATAGACCGCCGTGTAGAAATACGTTAAGTAACACAATTTTAGATAAATTATATGTAAAAGTGCGAAAAGAAAATTCTCTCTCTGTCAGCGATTCCAGTGTACTTATTTTAGATGGCTGGAAAAATAAATCAAAAAACGAAAAATATGTAGCAAGCATACTACATAATGCTACTGGAGAACGAGTATTCTTAGACAGCTGGGATTTCACTCAAGAAAGGGAAACTGGTGTGGCTTTAAAATGGGTTGTAGAAGAAGCTACTAAACAAGCTAAAGAAAATTATCAAACAGATATTTATGCTGTTGTATCAGATAATGCCTCTAATATGACGTTGATGGGCAAATTAATAGACCAGTGGTTTATTACATGCAATAGCCACAGCGGCAACTTATTGGCTAAAGCTTTAATAGACGATTCTTTTAGTAAAAAAGCCATTCCAACTTTAAAAGAATTTAAATCGCCTGCATTAGAAAAAGAAATTGTTAAACGAGGTGGAATAAAAATTTGTCTCCCTGGAGAAACACGCTGGTGCAGTTATCGTGACAGTTTGCGTTGCTTCCTTCGAAATTTAGTAATAATGCGAGCCATTGTTCAAGAAAAACAATTTCAAATTTCAAAGGAATCAATCACTTTAATTTTTGACGGCGAATTCGAACAAGAATTGTTAAAATTTATTATAATTTTTGACGTGGTATGCACTTTAATAAATAAATTACAAAGCGATAAAAGTAATATAGCAGATGCTATAGAACATTGGCTGTCTCTAAAATTTCCTATTTGCGAGGACAAATATGAATCGTTACTTAAAGCTCGCCTAGGAAAGGTAATTAGACCAATCGGTTTAGCTGCAAATATTCTACACCCTGTTTACAGAGGTAACATTTTTGCTCAAAATGCTGAATACGAGGGCATGGCGAATAATTTCTTGAAAGAAAACTTAAAAGACGGTGGATTGAAAGATTTAAAATCGTATCTAAATAATACAGGGATTTTTGAATCTTTAAATAAAAAGAGTTTAAAAAATCCGCAAACTTTTTGGGATTTGGCACAAGACGATCATCCTGAATTAGCTAAATTTAGTAAAAAATTACTAAATATACCAAGTTCCTCTGCCGCATTAGAAAGATTATTTTCTCAGTGGTCTTATGTTCATAATAAATTAAGAAATAGGTTAAATATTGAAACATCAAAAAAATTAATCTACCTTTATTATACGTTTAGAATAAATGATCATCAAGACAATTATGATGATTATTAATTATTTATTCTGATGAACTTCCACAGTTTGTATTATAAAATAAATATTCTTTTGCGCATACAGTTTCTAATTTGTTTGTTGTACTTAAACCTATTAGTTACACTAATAACATTTTATATCTTAAAATACAAATATCTTTGGTTTCAAACGTTAGGAACACAAAAATAAAACTGATATAAATGTAAAGTTTGAAACAACAATTTTTTTGTTTAATGAGAAGTAAACTTTTTAATTCTACTCGTTCGATAAAATACTGATTCGAAAAATAACATTTTGGATTAATTTATAATATAAAAATGAAAAACAATAACACTTATTTAGTATTTTACTTTTTCATCTCTTGGATCTTTAAATTATAGTATAAGTTAACAATCTTGTCTGATTGCTCATTCGGTAAATTCTTTTTTTCAAGAAAATGACCGTTTATTTTAATAGAGGAGGCTGGTATCGATGATATTTTAAGAGCTAATTTTGATAAATTTGGAGTTTCTTCTTCTACAAGTTGCCAAAACAGTACAGGTGATTTAATATTTTTTTTAAATAGTTTTGCAAAAATTCCTTTTTTATTCACATAATCTGTGAAATCGCTCAGACCCTCTTCTTCAAGATTATCAAATAAAAAGTCCTTTGCCATCTTCATTTCTGTGGGGCTAAAACTTTTACCGTTATGAATAGGATGCAATAAATTAGCGGTTATAGACACTGGTTGCTTTAAAGAATTTATGTGCAATTCTATTTCTGATCGAAGTTTCTCTGGAGCGCATTTCAGTAGATCTAACCAGCTTTGTATAGCATCCCCGATTAAAACGGTACTTTTCTCAAAATTGTCAATTATTTCAATTAATGACATATACATGTTTTTAAGCTCTTCAATTTGTTTATTAAACGATTCATCAAAAACGAGTGTTGTGCTTTTTTGATTGAGTTTTATACTTCCTTCTGCAACTTTTTGTTTTAGCGTCGTTAAGTTGTTTAAATAAGTCGAATAAGTATGTAAATGGTTTCTCCATACTTCGTTGCTTTGTGCAGAAATGCTTTCATCAATAATTTCTTTATCGAGTTCAATAACACCACGTTTCTGAAAAGTAGTTACAATTGTCTGAACACTATAGCAAACTGAATGATTTGCTAAAGAGGTTGCTATTAAATTCGCAATTTTAATATTGCATGGTGTAATCCACTTGTCGAAAGTAAAAGAATCTAGAAGTGATATTTCTTCTGTAACAATGGCGAATACGTTTCCAGAAAATTTGTTTCTGGTCAATTCCATAGCTTCATTTACAATCTCTCGAAACTCTGTTTCCCTTTCTTCTAATGAAAGGGAAAATATTTTCAAAAAATGTAAGTGTTCTTCATCTGCAGCCCGAATCATAGCTAATATGCTGACTTTCTCTAAATATATCGTTTGATTTAGAAACAAAATTATAGGCTTCGTACCAAATTCTACATTAATATCATTTCTTGTATTTTCAAACATATCATAAGTGTTTTGTAGAAGCTTTGAAGCTACGTATCCAGAATCGGGCGGGATGTAAGCTGGTCGTAAGAGTTTAATGAATTCTTTAAAATATTTCGAATCTACAATATCAAAGTCAATATTACAAGAGAAAATTAAATTTGCAAGCGCTTGATCAATTAACTCTCTTTCTTTTTCTGAAATTTTGTCAAGAAATGATTGCATTGATCTTTGAAGTTTTTTTGGTACGATTTTCAAATGGCTATTTGAAAAAGTTGTAGAAGAAGCAACAGATGGATTTTTTTTACTGATTTCACCATTGCTTACATTCGATAGCAGAATTGGATGGATAATCTGAAATGAGAATTATTGAAAATTTATTTAACCTACATTATGAGACAGTAAGTCAGAATTATATTTTCTATTTTTTTAAATAGCATATTTAATTATAGAGTCTTACATTATTATTATCTGGCAATATTTCTTCTGAAATATCAATTGACACATTTGTATCACGGCTCAAATTGGATTTATTTAACGATAAACTAGTATCCACTTCCATATTAAATAAACCGTCCTCAACAGTCAGAATTTTCTCAATACCACATTTTTTCCTAAAAAAATATTAGTTTATTATTTATAGGGATTGAATATTCAATGTAACTTTCAACAAGTAATAACTAATCTTTAGTATATCAAATTTACCTGTGATTCTTTAACCTTTCTTCTGCGGTATTAGTTAGAATGCGGTTACAGCCTGGACAAAAGGCAACATTTTTTCCATTTTGTTTTCTTAAAACAAAACAGAAATCTTCCCAAACACTATTTCTTGGTCGCCCGCCTCTATTCATTATTATAAAATTAAAGTTAAGTCAGTCAGATATTTTTGGGACAAATTATAGTTATAAAAATACTAGAGGTTATGTTATGATGTTTATATTCGATAAGAATCGACGCCATCTTGAAATGGTAAGTTACATTTTGTAAGAAACTCGAGACGTAACATACGTACGTATGATACGTCAAAAACCTCACGTAATATACGCAATGTAATATACTTGCGCATCCCTGCTCGGGAAGTATGCAGTGTCCTTGTTTTTCCGTGCGAAAACAAGGACAATGCATACTTCTCGAGTACACACTTTATCAAAAATCTCAATTCGGAAACGGCCATAGAGGCAGGGTGGGGAAGTTACGCGTAACTTGAGGTTTTCGACGTATAATACGTTATAATTTGTTTCCGTTATAAAAGAAGATTTTTTAAACGCGTTTAAAAATAACAGGAAAATACGGAAGCTTCTACGTGTCATCACAAAACCAAGTTTATGCTCGATTCATTTTAGCCTCGAAAACTAAAGAACCGTTTGTGATTTTGCTGTTTCCATGTTTTCGACGTGAAAAGGCCTTTCTCCAATAGGAGCCTAAACTTTTGCGTTGCGTGACTGACGCGTTGATTTTAGCATTGGTTGCCAATAGCAACCGACGCAATGCATACGCAACGCAAGAGTTTAGGATCCTATTGGAGAAAGGCCTAAAAACAGCGAGGTGATTCGGGTGTTCGGTCGTTCGCAATCGCACGTTCGCAGATTCGAAAATTTGTCCAAAATCGTGTAACATTGTCTTTTTAGTTATATTTATAGATAAAAGTAAATACGTTGATATTTCAATTCTTAAATTTTATGTAAGATTTTATGATGTCCGCAATTAAATAAAGTTTTTGCTTTTATTTTGAGTAGAAAATATCGTTATTTTGAGGTGGATTGGTGTTTTTCTTTGTTATCTATGTAATAATAAATATAAATAAATAATCAATTTATTTTAATATAAGGTTATGTAGTATGTATGCACGTGAGATATTACATAATAATTGTCCTGCTTCCTTTTCACATGTTTATCTTATATTATTTACAATAATATATAATGCTTAGAGAGAAGCAATTATTTAATAGGATGTAAATAATCCTGTGTAATTTCGGTCGTCACCAGATGGCGTATCGCAGTATTTCAGATCCCAATAGAAACGTAATCGTAATCGTAAACGGAAGAATAGGTAAGAGAAGGATAGTCATATATTGTTGTTCTTCTCTTACTAATTCTTCCGTTTGCGATTGCGATTCCGGTTACGTTTCTATTGTGCTTAGGCCTTTAAGGCCTTAAAAAAAGGACACTACATATTTCCCGAGTATGTGACGTCATCAAACTATTGATACCAAACTCGAACAAAAAGTTTGGATTATGATTTTAAGACACTTCATTTTGCTTCCTCGTGGAGGAAACTTTGTAGTCCTTTCGTTTATAAAACTTTTCAAAGTGGCGGAAACAAATTTTTTTCTTTATAGAAACATGTTATATGAGATCCTGATCAATTGTCCGGATGTATGTATGTGTGTGTGGATCCCTTTTTTGTTTAGAAGATAACTTTAATAGGTTTTAATGGATTCAAAAGATCGATATATATATATATATATATATATATATATATATATACAAAGTATACATTTGAGGTAAATTTAAAGAATTAATGAAAGTTAAAAAATTAAAAATTCACATTTTGGCTATAAAATTTTGTGATTTTTTAAATTGAAGTTTATATATGAAATAATTGTATTCCTTACGTCAAGACGAATCGATCGATATATATAAAGTATACATTTGAGGTAAATTTAAAGAATTAATGAAAGTTAAAAAATCAAAAATTCACATTTTGGCAATAAAATTTTGCTTTCTCCACGAGGAAGCAAATTTTTTTGCTGATCGTAAAGAGGAAGCAAAATGTTCATGTAATGAACATCTGAATTTACAACTTGTTTTAATTATGAATATTAAATAATTAAAATTATTAAAAGCTGTAGAGAAACATTTGGAATAAAAATTGTAAAGTTGGAAAACAGGGATAAGTGGAACATAAACCAAACTTTTTGTTCGCAATTGGTATCAATGCATTGATGACGTCACTATGCTTGCCAACCAACGCGTCAGTCACGCAACGCAAACATTTAGAAACTTAAGGCCTTTCTCCAATAGGAACCTAAACTTTTGCGTTGCGTAACTGACGCGTTGATTTTAGCATTGGTTGCCAATAGCAACCGACGCAATGCATACGCAACGCAAGAGTTTAGGATCCTATTGGAGAAAGGCCTTGATTGGAGAAAGGCCTTTACTCTTGCAAGAAAAGGCCTGAGCAGAATAGAAACGTAACCGGAATCGTAACCGCAACCGAAATAATGAGTTGGATAAGGACAAATAATATGTCTATCCTTCTCTAACTCATCACAAATGGAAGAACGAGTTAAAGAACGATCGACATATTGTTTATCCTTCTCTATCTCATTCTTCCGGTTGCGTTTCATATATAGCATACAGAACATCGATGTTTCGATGTTCTTGTCGTAAAGAACACACAACCCTACTAAAAATAAAATCAGAAATCAGTCTCAAAACGTCAGAAATCCTGACGTTTTGAGACTATTTTGATGTTTTGTGATGCTGCTGACTAATTCTGACTTAAATGGTTTTTATGGGCCTGATGGAGCATTTACACCTTTGGTAAAAAAAATTTTTTATTTTGATTTTCGGAAATGCAAAGATCTGATTGGTTGTCCATTATCAATCAGATTGTGAACAACCAATCAGGTTTGTGTATTTCGGAAAATTCAAAAATAAAAAATTTTTTTACCAAAGGTGTAAATGCTCCGTTATGTTTCTGAAAAGTGACTATTTCTCACTACGTTTTATTTTTTTGTAAAAAGGGTCCTAAGGGAGGTACCAAGGTGTTCAAAAAGTTGCAAGTTTACATACTTTTTGAACATATGTATATATTTAAACATAACCTTATATAAAAATGAATCTATATACATTATATTATTTTATATTATATAAAAACACAAGAATCCAACTCACTTTAAAATAACGATATTCTCTATATTTAAAATTAAAAAATTTACTCAAATTATTCAACGTAAGAAATATTTCATCTTATTGCTGTTATGCAGCCAATAATAAGCTGCATTTCCACTAGATCCCAATCTTACAATTACCACGATTCGCTTTTTCTGTTCCTCTATTCCACTATTCTACCAGCTGGGACATAGGTACCCTAAATTTGGTAGAATAGGTAATTGGACATTTTTTTAAAAAATTATTAAGTTTACAAATCACTCAACCGATTTTATGAATATTTTAATTTTATATTTATTGTTTTGTGTTGTACTTATTATGTATTTATTTAATTATTGTTTTAATTATTGATTATTGTTCAATTGATTGAGTCCAAGTTATATATATATATATATATATATATATATATATATTTATTAAGAATTTAATTTGTATAGAATGTGTTAATTTTTTAATTTTGAAAAATAAATTTAACATCAGTATTGTCCAAATTTAATTTTTGAGTAAATAAAATTAACACCAAAATTTTTTATTCAAAACTTTTAGTTGGTAGTAGAGATATTAAAGTTGTATATTTAAATATGTTATTTACTTATATTTCAATTCCGCAAAATTCTTTACCTCTAAAAATTATGTGCATCACTCACACATAGTTAAAAATACATTTTAGTAATTGTCATTGAATTGTTTGTTCATTTTTCTTAATAAATGATTTCACTATCACGAACCATCAAACACATAGATTTCAAAACGATATTCACATTTTAACACCTTAAGTCCAATTCCCCTAGACTCATCTCATTGGTCGACATTTATTCCACCTCATTATTTACATTATTACTCCGTGCTACCAGTGATCGCCGAAAAAACCGATGTGACACCGATTATTGTTATTGAAAATCCAGATAAACAAATATTATAAACATAATTGTTTCTTGTCAAATTATAATCATGAAATTTAGATGTAGAATGATTGACATTGCAGCTATGCGTGATTTTACAAGTAAGTCCATTCATCATGAAGGACTTATTCGCATTCTAATGATTTATAGGTTAGATTTCTTTTTAACATTTCAACAAGTGGTAGTGATATGTTTTTGGTACTAAATAAGTCAATTGAATTTCAAATTTAAATTTTTCTTATGGTAATTTTTTTTATTTTAAGAAAATATAAAGCCCAACAGTAAAACCGAGATAATAGAAAGAAAGTATTAAAAGGAGACCAGTAAAATTTTAAACCATCAAAATTTATGTTATTGATAAGCACTACATTTTTTTGTGGAATTATTGGAGTCTAAAAAACCATATAAAAAGTATTTTCTAATAGAATTTTCTTTAAAAAAATCATCAGAAAAAGTATAATTTTATTATTTAAGCATCAGATTATTTTGGGTTAAGATGTCGTCGAATGAATGATTTTTTTCAAGATTAAATGAAGAATTTCTTTTATCTGATCTTTGTTTTGCAATGTAATTTTATATTCTGATGTATTCTTGTTACAAACAATTTTCTTTCAATGTAAATAACAAAAATAGAATAAAGCGAACATTAATTAGTATTTTTTTTCAATCTTATTACATTGTCAAACGTGGCAGCAAAATCAAGGAAATTGTTGAAAAAATGCCAAAAACTTAATTAAAAATTTTTATGATCACCATAAACGGGGCGGTATAGATTCTACACAAATAAACCCTACACGAGAAAATTGCGCACCGATAATTTTACAAAAAAAAATCCTACACTTGGACAATAAGCAAAATAAAATTAATTAACAATTTTTTACTTTACACAATTAAATCAAACATAATTTTATTCTACACATTAAATTGCACACAGGAAAACCCTACACCGTTAACTCTGAAAAAAAAATTCTACACAATAATATGCGGAATAAAATTTAAAAACAAATAATAAAAATTCTAAACGATTAAATACTACAAAATATAACCGTACAAATTAAATTGCACTCAGGAAAACCCTACACGATTAACTCTGCACAAGATTCTGCACCTTATATACTTACTCATAAGTATGTTTATTTATGAAAAAACAGGGTTGCCATGTCGACTGTATAGAATATAAAAAATTCTAATTAACCGTGGAGAGTTGTGCAGAATTAATCGTGTAGTGTTTTCCTGAGTGCAATTTAATTTGTACGGTTATATTTTGTAGTATTTAATCGTTTAGAATTTTTATTATTTGTTTTTAAATTTTATTCCGCATATTATTGTGTAGAATTTTTTTTTCAGAGTTAACGGTGTAGGGTTTTCCTGTGTGCAATTTAATGTGTAGAATAAAATTATGTTTGATTTAATTCTGTAAAGTAAAAAATTGTTAATTAATTTTATTTTGCTTATTGTCCAAGTGTAGGATTTTTTTTTGTAAAATTATCGGTGCGCAATTTTCTCGTGTAGGGTTTATTTGTGTAGAATCTATACCGCCCCAAAATCCTTTGGGGATTTAATTACTATATAAACCTACTTTATTTTGGCACTAGTGCCATTCGGAAAAGAAAAATATGTTGCATAGTGTTATTAAACAAGAAGGAAGCAATAAATATATTTTACTCATTTAATTGATTTAAAACATTTCGAGTTGAAAACGGTTTTAATGTTTTGAAAAATAAAAAATTTAGAAAATTGTAATTAATTTTGGGTGTAACATATACTTTATATATACGAATCGATTCGTTTCAATGCAAGGAATACAATTTTATGTATTAACTTGAATTTAAATAAACACCAATTTTTTTTTAGCTAAAATGTGAATTTTTGATTTTTTAACTTTCAATAATCACCTTAAATTTTTTTATTTAAAAAAAAATTTTTGAAAAAAAATGATAAAATTTTTTTTGGGGGGTATTTTTAACTCTTTGTTTGTAAACGTTTTTTCGGCACCTTCCGTCTTTAAACGTGGGTCGTTAACGTCCCACTGTGTTTTTAATGTGTTGATGTGTTCAAAAGAATTCATGGTACTTTTTACAACCCTTAACTTCTTATATTAATCATAAAAATGCTAAAAAAATTATTGTTGCGTTTATTTTTTATAAACAAATGGAGAAAATTAGTAAAAAAAAAAAACAGCGATTCATTAAAAAATCATAACTTTTTGAAAAAATAAGATATCTGACCGTTCTAAACGGGAAGTTAATGGTTAATTATGTGGCTTTAAGAAAAAAACTATTTTTATTTATTTAATAATAAATGCTTAAGTTAGGATAGGTAAAACAGTCCATAAATCATGTATTATGCATTGGTAAAACCACAATTTATTTTTAAAAAGTTATCAAATTATTATTAGTTTATTTTATTATATCTTAACGCTTTAGCCGTTAATACATGTTTATAAAATTGACTAAAAAGAATTTAGTTTTGCAAAAAACACGATGAAACAAAAAAAAATGTTGTTGCTTACCTACGAGTCGAGTGAACGCCGTCTGTAAACGTGGATCAAATCTGTCCCAGTGAAAATATTTAAATTTATTGTTGCTGCCAATAAAGGACTACCATCGTCACCTTTGGGCGTTAGTTCTCTTTCCTACGTTACTCTTTTAGGTGAAGACAGCAGCAGGTTCTAATCGCTTCTTAAAAATATATTTAACTAAACGGTTTTGACTGGGACACAAATGACCCACGTTTACACAGGAAGGGTTAAAAATCCGCTCGTCATTTTTGAAAGATTAATCTGATAAATAAGCCTACCAAATTTTACCCAAATCCATTAAAGACTGAGTAAAAATAACAAAAAAATATTTTGTTTACATATATAAAATTGTTAATATATATAAAAAAATTATTTAATTAATTATTCATTTTGTTAAATATTATAAAAATACATTATCTTTAAAAAAACTTAAAGCAAACCCAAATCTGAAACATGTAAAAGCAGCGGTACTATGTATTTGTTAATTAAGGGTTGTTTAAACAATGCTATGTGTAAAAATTAATTAAAGTAAGTATTAGTCGTTTACCTTGACTAATAAGAGTCGGTATCAAAACTACACAAGAATTTTCATAAAAAAGTTATATTGTACAAAACATAAAAATTGTTATTTTTTACATTATACTTTTTTAATGTTGTTTTTATTTTTTGTAAATTTTAACTTTTTTGTAAATGAAAAAAAAATTTTTTTAATTTGTTATTTTGTACATTGAATTTTTTTTTGTTTTTTCTTAACGTTATTTTTTACATAATTTTTTTAGTTATTTTTTACATAATTTTTTTAGTTATATTTTACATAATTTTTTTTGTTATTTTTTACATATAGAAAAAAATTTTTCGTTATTTTTTTGGGGCGGTTTGAGGTGCCCACAAACTGAATGCATACATTGAAACTGTATATAAGCTGCATTTACAAGTACAAATGAATTTTAACATTAATTCGTATGCAGTTTAAAGTTTGGGTCAGTTGGGGTAAATGGGGACAAAATCCCTATTTTTCACAAATTACGTAAGTTGCTTCCTTTAAAAGGTAATATTTGCTGGTTTATATTTTTTTAAGTTGTTATTTACATTCCCAGGATTAATTTTATGCAGCAGAAATAAATTTAGATAAGCTTTAAACGCATGAAACTGACTGTCCTTATTTACAGTAAGATTTAAAAAAAAAATTAAATTTGGGGTAAATGGGGACAGCATAGTTTCTACGAAAGGTTTAAGAAAAACGTTTCCTTAAGTATATTACTGTATTAAGGGATGGAAAAACTTGAAAGAAATTTTTAATAGGGCGGACGAACTTAAATTTTGTTTATAAATTGATTTTTGCTTAATTGATATCTTTTATTATTTTTTTTATTTAAGTATTTTGTCTCGCATTTCAAAGAAAACAAACTTAAAAATCCTACAAAAATTTTTTCTTATTCCTTATGATTTCCTTAACAAAAATCCACTTGAATTTTTGATTTTTGTCGATTTGGTTAATAATAACAAGTTGTCCCCATTTACTCCGAGTTTTCAAATTTTTAGTGTTATTATTAACCAAATTGACAAAAATTTTCAAGTTTTTCCATCCCTTAATACAGTAATATACTTAAGGAAACGTTTTTCTTAAACCTTTCGTAGAAACTATGCTGTCCCCATTTACCCCAAATTTAATTTTTTTTTTTAAATCTTACTGTAAATAAGGACAGTCAGTTTCATGCGTTTAAAGCTTATCTAAATTTATTTCTGCTGCATAAAATTAATCCTGGGAATGTAAATAACAACTTAAAAAAATATAAACCAGCAAATATTACCTTTTAAAGGAAGCAACTTACGTAATTTGTGAAAAATAGGGATTTTGTCCCCATTTACCCCAACTGACCCAAACTTTAAACTGCATACGAATTAATGTTAAAATTCATTTGTACTTGTAAATGCAGCTTATATATAGTTTCAATGTATGCATTCAGTTTGTGGGCACCTCAAACCGCCCCAAAAAAATAACGAAAAATTTTTTTCTATATGTAAAAAATAACAAAAAAAATTATGTAAAATATAACTAAAAAAATTATGTAAAAAATAACTAAAAAAATTATGTAAAAAATAACGTTAAGAAAAAACAAAAAAAAATTCAATGTACAAAATAACAAATTAAAAAATTTTTTTTTTCATTTACAAAAAAGTTAAAATTTACAAAAAATAAAAACAACATTAAAAAAGTATAATGTAAAAAATAACAATTTTTATGTTTTGTACAATATAACTTTTTTATGAAAATTCTTGTGTAGTTTTGATACCGACTCACTAATAATATTGCACAATTCTCTCAATATGTCATTAATTTCGTAATGAGGAACTAAAATCATTAAAATTGTTTATAAAAATTGTTTAAACAATTGAATTTTTTTTTTAAAAAACAAATCAAAGACGTTATGCAGAATTAGGGTAACTGCACCAGTGGTGGATCAGTTAAGCCCCTTAACTTTCTTATTTTGACTTTGAAGTTCTGTATAGGTTGTTTTTAGACAAATTCGAGGTTATTCTTTATAGTATTATGGACCAGATAGTTCCAATAGACATTTCCTTCAAGGTTAGACTTAATTTTGACACCTACGTTTACTTTAATGCTCCAGCAAAGATAATTTGTCAATGATCCTATTCTGGATCACTGTTTGCACCAGTCATGGTTATAGATTGCTCCAGTGGTGGATCACTTAAAAAATCATACTAAAAAACATTGCATTTTAAAATTACGAGACTGAGACGTTTTGCAACTTTTATAAGGCTTTACGGACAGATTTTCAAATTCACTTTCCTATCCATATCCCCTCCTCTTTCATTTCTATAGGTATAATGTGACTAAATATTAATTAATCATCTTTTTATTAGAATTTTTGGTAATAAATAAATAGAAACTCTTAAAGCTTCAGTTTCAATGATAAATAACATTTATTAATTCTGGGTATTTTAATTCAACAAAAATTTAACAATTTGAAATCAGGGGGTCGATTACGTAACTTTCCCACTTCCCACTTCACACATCTCACTTCCCACATTTTACATCCCACTTCTCACTTCACACATTTTACATCCCACTTCCTACATTTTACATCCCACTTCTCAATTCCCACGTCCCATTTCCCACATCTCACTTCCCACATTTTACATCCCACTTCTCACTTCCCACATTTTACATACCACTTCCCACATCCAACATCTTGTGGGAAATGGGAGAGATGTGAGAAGTGGGATATAAAAGGTGGGAAGCGTGATAAGAAAAGTGTAATGTACAATGTGAGATGTGAAGTGTGAAAATTGAAATGTGAGAAGTGGGATGTGAAATGTGGGAAGTGAGATGTGGAATGTGAAATATGGGAAGTGGATATGAAATATGGGAAGTAAGAAGTGAGATGTGAAATATGGGAAGTGGGATATGAAATATGGGAAGTGAGAAGTGAGATGTGAAATATGGGATGTGGGATGTAAAATGTGGAAAGTGGGATGTAAAATGTAGGAAGTGAGATGTGGGATTTGGGAAGTGGGATGTAAAATGTGGGAAGTGAGATGTGGGATGTGGGAAGTGGGAAAGTTACGTAATCGACCCCCAGGTGTTAACAATTAATAAACATTTGAATTAGTGTTAACTAAAATTTAACTCATAAAATTTTCAATAAAACAATGCGTCAACAGGCGAAAAGTAGGACTGATCCACCACTAGATTTTGTTACTTTTTTGGTTCCAGTCGTGGATCACCCCAAAACAATGGACACGCGCTACTTACAGACGTAAATATTGTTCTCAGGGCTCTATGGGGATGAAACGAAATGTCTCCTATTGTGAAAAGAATTAAAAATTGTCCTAAAATGGCTCCAAAGCTTTCTATTCCAAAATATACTCTTAACTTACATGTTAAGGAAAACTCTTGTTTTCTGTCACCACTTTAGTAATTGTTGTCCTACTTTTTTCGCGATGAATTTAAAAATTTTTTTAAATTGTAATATTGATCTGTATAACTTTCTTAACAATTACCGACACTTGCGGTTCATTTACTTACAAACGTGTAAACACAAATGACCATTTTTCTCGCAGTTGATCCACCACTGGTGCATGATCCACCACTGGTGCAGTTACCCTATATCATCTTTAAAATAAGACCAAGAACGTCAAAATCGGTTGAAATTTGTAGGCTCTATATTAATTTGTCCACGGCTCATTGTGTAGCGTAGCGCACGTGGAGCTTGTACGCAATTTTTAAAAATTCATTTAAACTTATTTAACTCATCAGGCCCATTCCGGCTCTTTTTGCAAAATCTTCTGTATGTTTTCAGGCATGTATAAATCATAAAAAAACAAAATTTAATCGGGCCCAAATTAAAAAGAAATTAATTTGTTTATATTAATTTATTTCTCATTAAAAATTAAAACTTTTTTTTTTTAAATTTCTTAAAAGTTGAAGAAAAAAGAAAACTTTTATTCTTTGGCAAGATTTTACCAAATTCAATACTTTCAGAGATATAAGCCATTAAAAAAAGTCTACTTTCGCAAAGTCAAATTTCAAAAATTCATAACTAAAAAATTTGGTCGATTTTTCAAAAACAAAAAAATACGTATTTCATGTTTTTCTACAAAATATAAGAAAAAAATATATTTACCCGAATTTTAAACCTCGACTTTAAAACTCACGTGGAATCGCCCATATATTTGAGTTAAATTTAAAAAATTAATGAAATTTAAAAAATAAAAAATTCTCATTTTAGCTAAAAAAATTTGTGTTTGTTATAATTCAAATTCAAACGTAAAATAATTGTATTCCTTGCATTAAAATAAATGGATTAATTTAAATTAATTTTTAATTAATTAAATTTAAATCAATTAAATGAGTAAAATAAATTTACTGCTTCCACCGCGAGGAAGGAAATTTTTTGCTTCACACAATGAGGAAGCAAAATGTTCATGAAATGAACATAAAGTCTCCCCTACTTGTTTAACCTGTTATCCCTCTTCTTTTAAAGGTTACTGTGTAAAGCCATCACCTGTGAGATAGTCTATTTTAAAGTCGTTTTTTAGGAATTTATTGAGAAAACTACCAGAGCTTTTTACAAACTTTCTGTTTTATTTTTCTCGTAGATCTGTCAAAATAAAAATCGTTTTTCTAGACTGATCTAGATCAGAAAACAGGAGGGGTCAGTTGTTTCCTACCGATCACTGTTAATAGCTCTCCTGTTTCTATTCTACTTGACTATAGTATATTTTAAGACATGCATAATATGTAAAAGATTCTTTTGTAGTTCAATAAAAGCTTGGACAGAAAAATTCAAGAAAATATTCTTTCCCTCTTCATGAACAAGATCCCTTAATTAAACATTCGTAATTGAGCAATTCCTAACAAAACTACAAAAATACTAAATCCGTTTCAATTAATGCTCTTGTTTATTTTCAGCTGTTCGTGTTTAAAAATTTAATCATTCTCAGAATTCATAATGAACCAAATTTAAACTAAATTCAAGAAATTTAATTTTGCTCATTTCCATAAGCGAATTCAAGTTCATAAAGTCAATTGACATTCCTAAAAATTGAATTATTTTATCTATTCACAAATAATTTAACTAATTAATTATATTTAATGTTATATAATCATTTTTATCTGTGTGTTAAAGATATTTTTTGCTACACCAATTTGTGAAGTTGGTTAATTATTTTCTTCAATACTCCCGTAGTGTATAAAGTAACTTTGTACATTATTTGAAAATGAACCTCTGTGCACACAGTTCTCTGAGTTTAAATTTCAACTTCTCAGATGAGCGTAGCAAAAAATATTTAACACAGTAGTTATCACTGGTGATATGAATTAAACATAAAAATTATAAAATATTTTTCAGATATTGTTAACACGGTATCACGAATGTCGAAAAAGTGTGTGATACGTTTAACCCCAGAATTTCTTTGCTTCAATATTGGTGATGAACACGTTCCTGTAGTCTGGGCAGAGCTTCGCCAAGCCCGTTTCTTTCACGAATATGAACTTACTGGCGCATATCAAGAGCAGAACGAAATTTATTTGGAATTAGACACACTGATGCTTGCTAGAAGTGTCTCTTCTTTAAAACAAAATGCAAAAAGTGCTAAGATAAAACTGTCAAATAAACAGCAACCATGTCTTACAATTGAAATCGAATTACCCTCCTCGAGCATGGATTCAAGACAGTGTGTTCATGACGTTCCTGTTCAAATAATTCCTCGAAGGCAGTGGAATGAATATCAAGCACCTAATATTCCCGAATTTGACGTAAATCATTTATTTAATTCTTAATCTGTAGTATTTTCCTGAAAGTCAAATCTTTGTTGCTATAGTCAGGGTGTCTAACGCACGCTTAGCTTCAAGTAGATTTAGGTTTTGCAAAAATGGTGACAAAATCGGATAGCGGCATTTCATTTTTCCTTCTTTAAAGCTTTAAAAATCGTAAAGAGCAAAATCATAGCTGATCATTTTTTCGAGTTCTTGTTGAATTTGTAATTTTTACTTAATATCTACCTGACAAGAAATTGTAAATATATGCCCAAGTAGCACGATATATCAACCAGATGTCACGGTGATATATCGTGCTACTTGGTGTTATTTCAATTTAAAACAAAAATGTTACTCGAATCTACTTTTGTTGCTAATTTCATATAACCAATTTGACGTTCCACTACCATTCGATTTATTATTGTGTAACCTTCACGGAGAGAAGAGCTTAAGTATATTCTACAAATCTTGTTTAGTACAGATTCTACTAAACAGCGAAGTCAGAGAAACTTCTCTAGTTTTGTCACACAAAAAATTTACATACAGAATAAAAATTTAGAAATCTGATTAGTTAGCCACAATTAGGCAGATTGTTGACAACCAATCAGATTTCTGCATTTCGTTTCTGTCGATAATTTTTTTTTTCTTTCGATAATCGTGTAAAAGCTCCCTTTTTATTGATAAAGAATAAAATTCTTTTCATTTCATAAAGTAGGTACTTCTCACAGAATAAATTTTTTTGTAATTAGATGGTTGCCACCCAGAAAAAAGCTTATTAAATACACCTTTTAGTGAATCAGATATTTTAAGAATGTGGACCGATTCAAAAATATTGAATAGGTTTTTATATCCTGGGCATGTCAATCTCACTGATAAATATTGTGTTGACATTTTGTTTGGTTAAATGCGAATTGTATTTCTGCAGAATAATTGTATTAATAATTGTTTAATATTACAAAGTATACACTACCGTCCGAAATTGTGCGAACGCTTACACCGCGAGTCATTGAAAAACATACTCGCGTGAAAATAAAGATAACTCTGAGAGAAATTAACGTAGAGACTTTTCCCTTATAGCGTTGGAAAGCTTATTAAATTTCGAAAAAAATGATACCTATTTGAATGAGATTGCTTAAATAGGTTTAAATATATCATGTTACAAAGTTGAAAAAATAATTGTAATTTTTTGCTTATTTCCTACCTTGACTTTAACCTCTTGCATGGTCCAGGAAAATCGACGAAAAAAATTGTCCTTTAACACAATTATTCTTTGAAATCTAAGCTTTCCATTGATTCCAAGAACAATAAAAAATGTTGACGGGTTTGCCAGTAATTGAAAAAAAAGGACGAGCGTGCACGAAAAAAAATTCGACCGTCAATCGCTCGATTTTCCCGTCTCGCTGCCTCTTTCGTTCGTGCGCCAGGGCCGAAACAGAGGATTTTGATTAGGCGCTTTTCGGGCACCATTAATTTCATTATTTTTGCCTTTTTGTGAACATAAATTATTTGTATAACGCGAAAGATATCATAATTGTGTTATAAGTTAATTATACAGTTATTAAAATTAAATAAATGTAATAAAAATTATATATTTTATTATTAAAAAATTCAATTTGACCAACGAGGTTTTTGATTCTTAATAATAAATTGTTGAAGGATTATAAATATATTTTAATTTTTACAAAACTTTAATTGTATAATTATTTTATTTATGATTGATTAAAAAATTAATATCTCTATGTATGTGAAATATTTTAATAATGAAATATATAAGTTTTATTACATTTATTTAATTTTAATAACTGTATAATTAACTTATAACACAATTATGATATCTTTCGCGTTATACAAATAATTTATGTTCACAAAAAGGCAAAAATAATGAAATTAATGGTGCCCGGAAAGCGCCTAATCAAAATCCTCTGTTTCGGCCCTGGCGCACGAACGAAAGAGGCAGCGAGACGGGAAAATCGAGCGATTGACGGTCGAATTTTTTTTCGTGCACGCTCGTCCTTTTTTTTCAATTACTGGCAAACCCGTCAACATTTTTTATTGTTCTTGGAATCAATGGAAAGCTTAGATTTCAAAGAATAATTGTGTTAAAGGACAATTTTTTTCGTCGATTTTCCTGGACCATGCAAGAGGTTAAAGTCAAGGTAGGAAATAAGCAAAAAATTACAATTATTTTTTCAACTTTGTAACATGATATATTTAAACCTATTTAAGCAATCTCATTCAAATAGGTATCATTTTTTTCGAAATTTAATAAGCTTTCCAACGCTATAAGGGAAAAGTCTCTACGTTAATTTCTCTCAGAGTTATCTTTATTTTCACGCGAGTATGTTTTTCAATGACTCGCGGTGTAAGCGTTCGCACAATTTCGGACGGTAGTGTATATTTTTTGCAGACCTAAAAAAAATATTACGTAAAAATATAAATATAAAAATATTATTTATATAATATAAATATAATTTTTCTACAAATTGTCTTTCTTTCTTATAAGAATTTTATTCTTTATCAAAAAACACAGTAAACTAAAAGGTATTAAAAAACGTTGTAGATTAAAATAATACCAAAAGTATTAAAATAATCGACTATTTAGAATTAAATTTATATATGAATATTTCAATTATTTTTCATCCTAACTTAAATTTTAATCTTCTGATGGATTATTATTATCCACGACGGATAAAAGAGTTGTATCTTATTTTAATCCATTTTAGGATTAAAATAATACCCTACAATTTTCTGTGAAAAAACGTTTTTAATGGGTTTCTCCAAAACGGGAACAGGTAGGACTTTATTTCAAATGGATTTTTAACCTATAAATATCTACAAAACGCTACACGTGCTGCATTTATTGTGTATTCAAGGATGATTTAGAATTTGGCTAATATTAGGATTTATAATACATATCTTATTTTCTTGCGAATATTGTACAATCAATTTGACGTTTGACTACCAGCCGGTACATTATTATAAAAGCCTTAACATCACTTAAAGTTTTACCGTTTTAAAATTTTATATGATCTTTGAATACACAAGATGTAAAATCTCTCTCTTAGCCAAATTCTAAATCATCCTTGAATACACAATAAATGCAGCACTGAGAGTAGGGGGTAATTAATCTTACTACCATGTCAGTTAAATCTACTAAACAGTATCATTTATTTTGGACTGACTAAACAGTCAGTTAAATGAACTATTTGTTTAGTAAAATGTAAGGGAGCATTTGTAGAATATACTGAAGCTCTTCTCTCCGTGAAGCTTACACAATTGTAACGCTAATTTAGATATTAGAAATATTAATTAAAATAATAATATTCCACAATCCCGTGTTTAAATTACGTACTGTTATTTCTCTACATACTACTCTCCGGCATACGAGCCTCTCTCATGGGGAGATTCTGCTGAAACGATCGAGAAACACGATGACGAACTGATTTGAACTACCTGTTACCTTTTGTATTGTACTCACGCAACAAAAGCAGATGTGAGTGACATTTTTGTTTTAAATTGAAATAACTTATATTTACAGATTCTTGTCAGGTAGGTATTAAGTAAAAGTTGCAAATTTAACAATAACTCGGAAAAAGGATCAGCTACGATTTTGGTCTTTACGATTTTTAAGGCTTTAAAGAAAGAGGAATAAAATGCCGCTATCCGATTTTGTTACCATTTTTGCAAAACCTAAATATACTTAAAGCCAAGCGTGAACGGTCAGGGAAAAGTCAGGGAATTTCAGAAAATTTCATTCAAAGTCAGGGAAATTTCTGTAAATTTCTACAAAAATTAAAATTTTTTAATCTAAAAAAACTTGAAAGGTGTTTATTACTATTTGTTACTAACATTAGAAATTAATTTATTGTTAAATATGTTAGTAACCATATTTTTGTCCAAATTAAGCAGAAATAAGGTTATTAAAAAGTCAGGGAAAAATCAAAAAATGTCAGGGAGGAGTCAGGGAAAAGTAAGGGAATTTTTTTCTAGACACCCTGATAGTTCGTGTCACGCACAGGGGGAAAAATCATAGAACTTTTGATAGAATTAATCAATTTTAGTAAATCAAAAATGAAACGAAAGTTTATTGACTACAGAATACAGAAAAAATACAGAGAACATGAAACAAGTTTTCTAACCTATTAAGGGGGGATAAGGTTAATTCGGTGAAAAAATGCATATTTTTAATAATTTTTTTTTTTGGCGATACAGAGAGAGTTAATTTATTTAACCAATTTTCCTATAATAGTGCAAGATTTAAACAATATTTTTCCAAATTTTCATTGCAAATATTGAGAATTGAGCGAGTGAATGTGAATTTCTTCAGACGCCTCCAATTAAAGTTGTTTTGCGGAGTACGCTGTAACTCGCGCCAGAATCATGTAAAACAAAGAAATCAAAATGCATTTTTTGTAAAATTAGTAAATTTTTTCAAAGTTTTCGGGGATACCTGAGGAATTATGTGAAGAAGTACTGTACCAAATTTCAGAACTGTCCAGTAGATTTTGTAGTAATTATGATAATCACGGACTTCAAAAATAACAAGTATCAGAAAAACGCTTTAAAGACCAGATGTACAAAAATTTTACTTAAAGCTTGGCATTATTTTTAAACATTAAAACGCAATTTAAAAAATTTGTCAATAGACATTTCTTACTGCTCAGGAATCAATATTTCAAGTAGTGTATCGAAAAATATTGAAAATTTAAAAATAAACTAATTACAGATGATTATTTCATAAAAAAACATGAATTTTTAAGTTTTTTTTAAAATTTTTATACAATATTTTTGATAATATTGAATATGTATTCATTCATTAAAAAATAATAATAAAATTTAAATACCTTACCCACACAGCATCGAAACTTTACTGAATATTTGTTAAAGGTCTAAGTGCAATCTACCGAATATTTAGTTGTAATACATAGTAAAGGTTGAATAAATATTAAAATGTCCGCTAAGATTAAATATTTTGAGCGAAAGTGGACTAAACATGTAAATTAAATGTTCGTTAAATGTAAAAAAATGTAAAAAAAATAACTTAACACAACGCGCAGTACTAAAGTAAAGCACCTATGGCTGCGCAATACATTTTTTGGCCTCTCAAGTTTGGTGCTCAATGTATATTTGAATATTAATCGTTTTCCAAAAAAAATATCAGGAATCATTATTTTATTTTCACAAATATTTTCGCCAAACATTTAACAACCATTTACTTTAAATGTTCAGTCGAACTTAAAGCTAAACATTTAATTTAAATGTTCATTCAACTTTCGCTTAAAACATTTAATCATGGCGGACATTTTAATATTTATTTAATCTTTACTAAACATTGCAACTAAAAATTCCGTAGTTTGGACTTATACCTTTTATAAATGTTTAGAAAAGTTTAGGTGCTGTGTGGGTACCCTCCCTTAAGGGATTTCTCCGGCAAATCGATTTTCGCTAGAATTTTTTTAAACTATGGGAAAATGTTCCTTATAATGTACTTTATAAGTGGTAAAAAACCCAGTACTCCTTGCCATGCTAAAAACTGAGAAATCTGGGTTCAAAGTTGCACCAGTTAACATACGATTCCTAATCTGAACATGCAAAACTCATAAATTTTATTTAATTATTTAAAAAGTTATCGATAGATTTTTTTTAAAAACGAGTATATTGTAGAATAGAATTAATAGAATAAGATATAAAAAAGTTTTAGTAGGGGTATCCATGCTAATTTTTGAATTACAACGTTTTGAAGTAGAAAAGTTAGGTTATCTATTGATTTTTCAAGAAAGTCAAGTATATTACTCGCTTGAGAAAGAGAGAGAAAACACGATAGAGAAGTGAGGTGTTGATTAGTATAAACTAGTCGCAAGGATCTAAGCACCACTGGAGCCGGAGAAATACCTTAAAAATCATTTTAATTGAAAACTTCAGCTTTATAGAAAAAGGTTATTTTTCGCCTGTAGTACGTACGAAGAAAAATGGTGAGAATAACTTTCTTATAAAGTAAACTTCAACATGTTATCCTGCTAATTAAAAATTTAAAGTCAATATTGAACAATAAAAATAGCGATAAAAAAAGAACGTATTTACTGGAAACTTGTTATCTAATAGTTTGAGTTTCCTGTATTTTTTTTCTCCTTAATTTGACGTGCTAGAGACTTCTATATTGACTTCTAATCTATAAGCAAGCTTATATTATTTTTAATTTTGAAAAAATTAGGTTCAAGACACCCAAAAAGTTTATTGGGTTTTTTTTCCTTTTTTTAAAAAAGTTTGTTTTATCTTGCGCACATGGGTCTTAAAGTATATATGTTTTAAGCTTTAATTTAAGCCTATATAGAAGTCTCTAGTACGTCAGGTTAAGGAGAAAAAAATACTGAAAACCCTCAAAAATACGGTTTTTAGAGACGACGACTTTACCTCCACTTTACTCAAATTCCTGACGTGATACGCAAATTTGGAACCCAGGATCGTGTTTAGCACACAAAAATACATTAGAAACTACTCTGAAATATAAAAAAAAACTTTGTAGACCTGTGTAATTGAATATATAAATTCTCATGATGTAGAGAAACTTAAACAGAATCTAAGAATTTGTTATATTATTTCAGATATCACTGGAAATGCCTCAGTTGAAGCACGTTCGCAACATGGTTGAGAGAATGAAAAATATGAGTCCATTTCTGATTTTAGGGACACACAGAGATGGAAAATTAATTCTTAAAGTGGAAAATGACGTTGCAAGTATTGCAACATATTTTCCCAATTTAAAGGTCTGGTGTAGATCAAATTTGGAAGAAGAAATTTCAGCCAGTGTTGATATAAAAAAATTCCATACCTTTCTGTCTTGGGATATAATACATCCGGATAGTGTCAAGTGTAATATTCTTCATGACAGGACAGTTAACTTGCATTTGTGTTCAGAAGGATACCTAACCATACACTACTTCATGCCAGCGATTGCTTCTTGATTGGTGACAGTCAACAACACTTATCAAGTGGAAGCCTTATTAATAGAAAATATTTAAATAATATAAAAATAAAAAATATATTTTTTATTTATTAATTCGTCAACATTATTCAAAACCTTATTTTTAATTTTACATTTGTGATTTACCATTTTAAATTAGTTGTAAGCTAAACTGAAACTTCGTTCATTCTCCTGGCGGAAGTTTTGGTGCATTTGATCGATTTGCTGAATTTTTTGACTTAGAAGATTAGTACGTTGATCAAGCCACTGCAAGCTGTTCATGTGAGCATTTAGTATCTTTCCAATCTGAACAATAGGATCACTCGAATCTTGAGCCCGATTTGCTTCATTCAAATGTTCAATAATTTCTTTCAAATCTTCAGACATTTGTTTGAGTTGAGTGTCTAAGCTTTCAGCAAGACGGTAAGTGTATTCTCGTTCCGGATCTGACACTGAGAGCTGAGAAAGTTCCTTTTCAAGAGGCACGAGGCAGTCCTGCAATTCTTTCTGCTGACCAACCTGCAGTTAAATTGGTATTTTTAATATTTATTTTTCTATTCATATTCAGAATGTATAGAGAACCCCTATAAAAATGATCATCTAATTAAAATCAATAATACCTACCACATAGTCGAGTTCATGTTCCAATTGTTGCTGTTCTTGTTTGACTCTTTCTACTTCCTGATTTAAAGTAACGATTTTCTCGCCGTTGGCTATGAGTAATTTGTCCCAGGCATTAACCTGCGTTGCCTGATTCACAAACACCTTTTCCTGCTCCTCTAATTCTAAAGTCCACTTATTGATGGATTCTTCTAGCTGACAAAAATTAATTGTTCCAACTTGACCACTGCTAGCTGATGTACTCACGCTGCAACATTGCTCATTGTAAATGGCAACAGAAAAACATTTAACAGTATATGCCACCTAAGGTGGTGACTAAATGGATCAAAAAAATTTACTATCATGAAACAAGAAAATATTTCAAAATATTTCCTGATATGGTAGGGGGTCACTTTTTCCAAATAATTTTTAGACAACAAAATTACTTATATATTTGCGGAAAAGACGACCAGGAAGCGCTCACTATGGTCTTTAAGTAAAAAAAACTTTTCCTACGACCCAAAAAAAATCATTTGTATTATCTTTTAAAGCATCATCTCAAGATTCCAAATCAACAATAAGTCCTAGCTACTCGTTTTGGCATTTCATTCAAAAATACGATTTTTTATTAAAAAATTTATTCAAATAAATTTTTTTTTCATTCCAATAAATTCAAATAATTTAATTCGGGTTAGATTTTATAATTTAAACATTTTAAAACCATTTTTCAGATAAATAAACAAAGTCGACAATGGTGAGCGTATTCACGTGATTTCAGATTCCAATATATATACCTATTATATATGAGGGGTTCCATGCCATTCTAACATATCGTTAACTTTGACTTCTTTAAAGAGATTCATGATTTTTTCAAATTTTTTCATCAACTCATTTACGAGAAATGAATTTTTTAAAACTTGTGGTTTTTGAAGAAAAAAATTGTTTTAAATGCTCATAACATTCTTACAAATGCATCAATTTTAAAGTTTTTTTTTAACTGAACTTTAACTAAAGCTTTCAAAACGTAAAAGCACCAGTACCTGGACGCTATTGAAGGGATCTCAAATTTATCGGTGTTTTGTACTAAGATAATTTAATATAATTAATAAAATGTTTGTATTTTCGTTTTATTTATCTTTGAAGGATACTAATTAGACAAAATTAATAATAATAGATGTTTTAATTAAATTAAAATCTTGAAATAATGAAATTTCTTATTATATTAAATCTTTGTTTAACAATTGGGTATGACATATATTTATGTGCGGCAGATTAACTTGGACACCAATTTTAGAAGAATAGTTTTATATAATTTGTTTTGCTCCTACGATTAATAAATTTTATTCTGCCTAAAAGCTAACTATCTAAAGAGTATCTTAAATTTTTTTTTTCGCCATTGACATGAAAGTCTTTTTTGTGCCTGTTTTGGGCAGATAAAGTAGCACTTTTTAAGGCAGTTTGGGTTAACTGCCTAAACAAGACTTTTTTAGGCAGTTGTTAATTTTTGCATAATTTTTGTTTTGCTTTTATTTTATTTATCAATTTTTATTATTTTATTTTATATACTATTTCATATATATTATATTATATATATATTTCTTTAAAATTGTTTCACTTTTTCATAACAATGGATGATTTCAATACTCGCTGTCTGTGCGACTTCGGTTCGACTTGGCTCGCCTTCGTCTTACCTACGTCGCACTAACGACAGCTCGTACTGAAAATTACATCCTCACCTAAAAAGTACTACTTTACGTGCTTGCCACATAATATACTATTAATTAATTTGGAGGCTATTTTAATTTCCTTTTGCTACTATTCATCTACTGGTTCCAATTTTTGCTTTGTCCAGGTACTTGTGCTTTTATCTTATAATTTTTTGTTTCTTTTGTTTGTCCCCTTTCGTCAGAGCGAATCACATGTGTATTTTTCATGATAAAAATAATTTTTACTTACGTGGTGTTAGTTCCTAAAGTAGTTTGTGGCACTATACTGGCAATAGATGTGGTGGCTGTGGTAATTTTGCTAATACTAAATCCCGTAGTAGCTGTTGAGGCGGTAGCGTCTAAAGTAAATCCAGATGAAGATGTTGTTGCTCCATTAAGATTGAATCCCGTACTGGCGGAAGTGGTCGTCGTTCCGGGAAGAAGAAATCCAGTTCCTGCGGTCGATGTTGTGCCTCCAAGATTGAATCCTGTTGTATTAGTGGCAGGTGCACTTGTGCCGAGATTAAATCCAGTTGCAGGTGTAGATGTTCCACCTAAGGAAAATCCAGCTGCAGGTGTCGTAGTTCCAAAGGTTAACCCACTTAATGTTGTTTGAGGTGTGCTGCCTAATGTGAATCCTGTTCTAGTTGCTGGAGTTCCGCTAGTCAAACTGAATCCTGTGGTCACAGGGCTAATAATAAAACGAAATAGTATCAGAATGTGTTAATTGAGAAAAGTAAACATGATGCCTTTTGAAGAGCTCAACATTCTTGTTTAAATTATGTGTGGATAGTTTACTATTAACTTCAATGTTTAAGGTATGCGATATAAAAGATTCATCTCAATAAACTTGCTTTTATTTTCTGCATGAAAATTAATATGTCAGTATATTTACGTTGAAGTAGAACCCGTAGAAGCTTGAAGGGTTCCCACAACTGGAGTTGTTTGAGTGGTTAATGATGGAGTTTTCCCAAGAGAGAAGCCTGACACTGATGATTGAGTGGCAGTTCCTAACGTAAATCCTGTTGTTGTTGTTGTCATTTTATATGGTTATTTAATTCTTTTGTTGACGTTAAAAATGAAGTCCAAATGTAAATCTAAAATTTAATGAACATATTAATGTATAGAAAGTTTCTATAAAACTTGGTAAAAATGAATTACAAGAAAAAAGGTTGAGAAAAAATTTTATTAAAAGTTTTTAACGTTTTAGGTATATTTTGTTTCAAAATCATAAATGGTAATAAATGTCAGAATCATTTTTGTGATAAAACATTTTTGGAATCAAAGAAGCTCTTGGAAATTTTTTTTTTTATGAATTATTATAAGAAAAGCTGATAAATTTTTAAAACTTCTTAAGGGATTAGTACCACATTTCAGTGACTTTTCTTAAACACTTTTTTCTATTACAAAATTTATTTTATTTACTTCAAACTTTTTATACCTAAAGAAAGGGCGGGTTTTAAACTATTAAAAAAAAATTTTTATTCCTTATTTATTATGGATTATCTTGCTGTCATGGCCGCCTGAAAATACCTCTACTTGTGATTGGCGGACACAACATCCCCAATTCAGGTCCTCGAAATATAAAATTTTTGATATTTTCTTGAAAAGTAAGCTCGTTGCTATCGTCGGAACTACAATCAACTATTTTCGATGAAAAAAAAACAAAATGGCGGACTTTTTTCATTTTTGACCTTGTTTTTTCAATTTAAATTGTTTTAAAAAAGGGTTAAATATTAATGAAAAATTATGATTCTAGTTCCGACGATAGCGGTATATGTGTAGAATAAGCCATAAAAATTTGAGCTTAATCGGTGCAATAGTTTTTCTTTTATGATGTCCGCCAGGTCAAAAAACGTTGTTTTGAGAAAATGCGAATTTACGAAACCATGTCTTTTTTCAAGAAAATACCCTCTTACACGACAGGATACATTATATACATATTTATGTACATATATGTGAAATTTGATATATATTCATATTTATATAGGTATATATTCATAAAAGCATACATTGTACTCGAGAAGAGTACGCTCCATGAGCGCGTGACTTTTACATTGTACCCCTTTTTTCGACATGTTACCGAAGTTTCCCACCAAAATAATAGTTTCCATAGCATTTCTACATGTATCTACTACAAGAAGATGCAGTTTTTAGAAAATCGATTTTCTTGAAAAAAGATGCGGTACTAACCCTTTAATTACTGAAAATTTAAAAATCATATAAATGAAAAATGTGCTAATTTATTTCTTATTTATTTTTGTTTTTGACATTCCGACATAATCTAGAATAATGTATGGAAAGATTTGACAAGTTCACAACATAATCTTTAAGATATCAGCTTTAATTTGCATTTTTGAAACTTAAAAAATGTTTTGTGGTTCCTGAAATATGTTAAAAAAGGTCCAAGCATGTTTTTTTTACAAATCAGCCATCGATCATCACTTTTTGCCGCTTCACTGCTAGGTTGTAGAAAAATATGCTCGAACATTTTTTAACATATTTTAGGAACCACAAAACATTTTTTAAGTTATCAAATTTTAACACAATCTTTAAGTTCTTAGCTTTAATTTAAAATGTCATATGTAAATCTCACGTGGAATCGCCTATATATTTATGATGTATTCCACGCCAAAGTGAAAGTCCATCTGCAATTGCATCTCCGATTTTTTGAGATCTTTTTCTTTTAGTACTTTTTAAGCTTAGTCCGATAATGGGCAAACAATTTTTACAATATTTTCGGAATTTTTCAAAAATTTTTGAACTTTTTAAAAATATTTTTGGTTTTTTTTATACTACGTACTTTTATGTATTTTGATGCGCTGATTACGAAAATCATAGTGACAATACCCGAAATAAACCATAAAAAAGTCACAAAATTAATGGTTTTTTTTGTTTATTGGGTAAAATATGCAAAATTAAAAAAAACTTTCATATAGAAGTTATAGATCTTATTAAAATACATTTTTTATATCTTATGCATTTTTTTTAATTTTGCATATTTTACCCAATAAACGAAAAAAACCATAAATTTTGGGACTTTTTTTATAGTTTTGACCATAAAAATCAAATTTTCGGGTATTGTCACTATTATTTTCGTAATCAGCGCATCAAAATAAATAAAAGTACGTAGGTAATAAAAAAAAAAAAATATTTTTAAAAAATTCAAAATTCCAAAATTTTTGAAAAATTCCGAAAATATTGTAAAAATCGTTTGCCCATTATAGGACTAGGCTTAAAAGTTTCGTAAAAAGAAGTAGCTTTTTTGTAAAAATTTGAAAAAAATCGATCAGTACGTCAAATGAGAAAAATGACTTTTTATCATTAAAACTCAATTTTGATAGTAATATCGTTTGAAAAAAAATTTCGATTTTTTTTTTAAATTAAGTTTAAAAACACACATTTTGAAAAAAATACTTTTAAAATTGATGCATTTTTAAGGAAGTTATGAGCATTCAAAAATTAAAAGTCATGAAAATTCTTCAATTTTCAAAATTCCATAACTCGAAAAAGGCTAGCTAAAAAAATTTGAAAAAATTCATGGAAGCTAGTCTCAATTAGTACCTACTAAAAGAAAAAAAATCGGAGATGCAATTGCAGATGGGCTTTGAATTTGGCGTGGTAAGTATACATCATATATATATGACGTTCAATTTATTATTAAATTTCATTTTTTTTAATGAAAAAATTATACTTCAAAGATTTAAATATATAAGAAAACTTATATACACAAAAAATTTTCATCGATTTATTTTAATGTGTTTGAGAAAAAAATTCCTGTACACATTTTTTGACTTTCTATAAAGTAGGCGCCCCCCTTAAAAGTGAACATTTTTTTTAAAATTTGAGCAAATTCTTGGTACTGTTTGGAATGTGCAGGCCGAAAATCCTGACGAAAAACAAAACAATACATAGATGAAAAGTAACTAATCATAAATGTAACTTTTTAGAAAGATTAATGTTTTTGAAATATAAATTCATCTGAAAAGTAATAAATTATTTGTTAAAATTACCACATAATAAAATGATTTTTTAAAATAAATAAACAGTCTAAATAAAATATTAGCATCAATTACTGACATTACTTAGCGGACTAAATGGTTAATTTATTAAATAAACACAAAGTTTGAGGTTCTAAAATAAAGCAATAAAGTTCTAAATCTTAATTGTATTATTTAAAAAAAGAAATTGAGCTATATTTTTGTGTTGTGGACTCAGAGAATGTCCAAATTCAACCATTATATTTTCTATAAATATTTTCATAACAGTAACCAACAAATATATTATTTTTTGATTTTGTTCATTTTTGTAGAAATAATAGCAATTTTCTCTGACTATTCGTTTAAAAAACCGCTGTTATATAGTCGTCAGATATGTGTGAAATAGTAACCTCATTTCAAACAATGCATTTTTGTTTATTGAACAAACGTAAATTAGATAAACAAAAAATATGTGCGGAGTATACGAAAAATTTAGTGGCTGAAATGCTGTCAGGATATAAAATATGTGTAATTTATAATAAACACTAAAAACAATATAAATTCTAACCTTATAAATGCACCACTAAAAAGATAACAAAATTCAATCAAATTCAATGTAGACATTCATGAATAGTCTAGGTTAGTCTAGAATAAAGTCGAACATTCAAGGTGCATCTACAACAACCTGCAATCTGTGTACACTTTGGTTGCACTTAATTCAAGCACGAAGTAATAATGAGACTCAACTCTGTATTTGCCATCTGTCAAGGTCACTGTACCATAAGTGACATGTTCGCTAAAGGGAATTAGCTTTCCAATGAGAGCGCATATGCAGTGTAATATACGTGTCTCTCTCTAACTAATAGGAAAAGTGCGACTGAGAAAGTTGCCGGCATTAGACTTAGATTGATTTCTCGAAAAAAAGTGAAACTTGGGAAAATTGTTATCCTACCTGATAGTAAAATATCCTAAAAAAATTTTTGACTTTTTTAAAATTTTAGGGGAGATAGAGAGGGATCAATTTTATAAGGTTATTCAAGTTGGGTGGGGGAAAGCCAAGATGGATGATGGCTGGTGCACCTATCAGCCTATCAGCATTCATTCCCACGAGAAATTTCTCGTGGGAATGAATGCTGATAGGATGCTTGTGCACCAGCCATCATCCATCTTGGCTTTCCCCCACCCAACTTGAATAACCTTATCAGTTTTCCCTGACACCGCCTACTATTTGAATTTTTTCTGTCTATAAATGCAATAAAAAAAATTTTGGCAGGTATGTTTTTTGAAGGTTTTTTCATGCTCTTTCCTATAGTACATTTCGTTTTTCAAAATTTTTAAATTTTGACCTTGATTTTCTATGATTAAACATAAATTTGCTTTTTTCACTAAAATCGGTCCGATTTTATTTAAAATAAATAATTGCAAACGAAAGCTGAAGTTTCTTCCGATCTTTATATAAATTTTCAGATTGCCGATTTTTCAATTCATTCATTTATTTAACTCAAATATTTCGTTTATTTGATACAAATAAAAAGTATTTGACACAATAAATTTATGTAATTGATTCAAATAATCTGAATTATTTAATACAAATAATTCATTATTTAATCCTAATACACTATTTCATCAAGACAAATAGAAAAATATTTCAATCGATTAAATATTTATTTGAAACGATAATAATGATTTACTTGAAACAATTAATTTATTTATTTCACTCAAATATTTTGTTTTATTGAAACAAATAAAAAGTATTTGATACAATAAATTTATTAATTCTAATTAATTAAATTATTTAATATAAATAATGCGTTATTTAATGTTAATACACTATTTTATTAAAGGAAAATAAAATATTTTGACCAATTAAATATTTAAGTGTAATGAGAATAATGAGTTATTTGATACTATTCATTTATTTATATATATATTATTTAATATTCTAAGTCCAAAAATCAAATATTTTTTCATCAACAAAAAATTAATGTTTACAATGATTCAGAACACCGAAACACGTTTTTTTAATAAAAATATATTTACACTTTTTTTGAAAATTCACCTGGGATGATTCATGATAATAATCATGAAGCTTATAATTAATTATATTTTATTAATTGCATTTAATTGGAAAATATAATTTAATATCTTAATTTTAACTAAATGATGTTAAGCACTTTTCTGAGTTAGGTCTTTTGCAAGTTTAAATGACATCAAGAAGTTAACATTCGTTTTCACATAGCGTGCGTAGCGTAGTTGGTAAAGCGTTAGACTCATAATCAGTAAGTCGTAGGTTCGATTCCCCCCATGCGTTAGATTTATTTATTTCTCAGGTTTGCGTTTAACCATTAATTCTATGTATGAATTAGTTGAAAAATGAAAATATCCGATCATTATTATTTATATTTGAGTAAGAAGTTAATTTAAAAATGAAAGAATTAGTAAATAAATATGTTATTTATTCAATTTAAATTTTGATTTATTTGAATCAAAAAAATCTTACATTTTATGCAAATAAATTATGTATTTGGATCAAATAAAATAATAATTGCCGCAATTAAAGAGGTTTTAGTTTCAATTAAAACAATTACTAATGACAAATAATCGAATATTTGATTGAAGAAAATTTTTAGTTGTTTCAAGAAAAATATTTTATTAATGCTAATAAATATTTATTTGAATCAAAAAACATGCAGTATTGAATGAAATAATTTTCATATTTGATTTAAATAATTATTTATTAGCTTTGAATATTCCATTTATTTGATTTGAATATTTTGTATTTGATTCAAATAACTATTTATTTGATACGATAAAATAAAATACTTAGGTTTAGTAAATGTGTATTTGGTTCAAATACATATTTATTGGATAATAGACATGTAAATGATGTATTTGGATCAAAATAAATAAATAAATTTGATCCAAATAAATTTTTTTTTCAGTGTATTCTTGAACTGATTTTCGTGCACGGAACTTTGAATCGAATGGTTTAGACCAATCGTTGCAAAGATTTGACAAGCACTCACCAATAATCAGAAGTGTCGCAAAGTTTCAATGATATCGCATGGTGTTCAAGAATAATGGAGCGGTCACACCTCGGCTGCAGGAGCAGTTGCCAATGGCAACCGTATAAGAGTAAGAGAGATGGAAAATCTTCTATCTCTCTTACTCTTACACGGTTGCCATGGGCAACTGCTCCTGCAGCCGAGGTGTGACCGCTCCATAAAGGGCCACCATTCCAGATATATAGAGTTCAGTGCGTTTACGAACGAAATTCCTGAGATAGAAGAGGACACAAATATATCTGGCTTTTTCGAACTCATATATTTCATACGCGAACGATTTTCGCGAAGCTATTGTACATTGGGCTTTACGATGTCAATTTCTGAATATGACACTGACGTGACCAACGTTGATTCGACGAAAATAATTTTATTTACTAAGATTAAATATTTCCTGGCCTTGGTTGAGGATTTTAAGTGTTTGAGGATGTATTTGAGACCAAAGAAAGAAGTTTCAATAAAAAAAAATTGCTTCTTGGCCTTTAAACTAATCTGAAAACGAAAAATTCGTTTGTTGATTCGTTGAATCAACGTTGGTAACTTCAGCGTTATGGCTATTGTGCATTGGCCCATTCACCTGTTGGCACATCAGCACTTATTGTAGAAGCACCTTGACTGCTCTGTTGACAGTCGGGTTAAAGCAAGTGTGCCAAACAATATGCCAAAAGTCATTTAAAAAAAACAAGAAAAAATGATAGCCAAATGGTTTTTTATTACACACATGTAGTATAAACTACTTTATTGTAAGTTTTTCTTGTTTTACAATAAATGGTAGATATGACAGTTTAAGGGTTAAGTTTACATAATTTTCAAGTGATAAAAAGTTAGAAGATATATCCTTATATGGTAACGTAATCGTTGATCCTTAGTGTACTTACTTTTTCTCCTTCTTTTCTGATGAAATTTAAATTTTGCATACATTTTTTTTAATTTATGTTAAATCTTTATTATAATATTAACAATTATGGAAATAGGGAAACAATAGGGCAGAGAATTGAAGGTGAGAAATTGAAAGAAATCTTAGTTCTCCATTAAAAATAATTTTGTCAATAAAAGTTTCTTAAATTGAATATATTTTAAAGACAATTTATGACAGCTTCTTAAAAAAGGTGTACAAAGGTAGAATAGTTCTTTCTTTAAATTGAAAAAATATTAGTCAAACATAGTGATTTACATTTTAATAAATTTGGAATGCGAAACCTCTATTTTTGAACTGAATTATTTTTAAATTATTACAGTTATCTTTACTCTAATATTTTATAAAATACAAATTAATTCATTATAATTCTCTTAACTATAAAGAAAGAAAATAAACTTAATTGTTTGTAAAAATAAAACTTGTAAAATTTGCTAAATATTTAGATTTTTCAAAATAATTCACCTTTATCAAATGTTAGAAGCGTTATATTTTTATGTTATTTATCTCCTAGAAAATATTAGAAAATAGAAAAAAAAGAAAATATTTATAAAATAATTTTGTATTTTTTTCAAGTCATTGAACTTGACTTCTCAAAAATGACATACTTAATAGTTGTAGCTATACAGCTCCGTTACTTTTGGTCTTAAACAATAAAAAATAAAATTGCGTCTTAGAGACGGAAAATATCGACGGAAGTCAAAATTTAAAAAACAGAAAATTCCTTGCGTATTTTAGTGAAAAAAAAGCTAAATGGATCCGCCAATTTTAATTTTCAAAAACTGATCTTGGATTCGCAATCAGCAACACTAAAAACCCCCAAGTAGGGGAAGGTGTGGGAATTGGAGCCCCTTAAGGACTCATTTTTCACTCCTTTTGTTATTTATCTTTAATTATAATTAATTAGAAATTTTCTTTAGATATTTTTCTAATTTTGTCAATAGTTCTCGACAGATGAACATTTTACAAAATATTTAAGACATAAAAAAGACCTACAGATTCTTTAGTATTAAAATATCCAATAATAACACATTTTAGACAATAAAACACAAATATTGATTCTTAGCAATTAAATATGCAACAATATCAAATTTTATGAATTAATCTTGTTTAATTTGCAAAAATATAAGGAAAGCCATATCGAGGTAACGAAACTCTGCTGGCTGACACAATTTTCCCATTACCCCAAAGAATTTTCACAGGCCACAAAAACAAACAATTTTTATTATTACCTCTATTTTTATTCATGTATCTAAATCTACACATATGTATTTATCTCTAATAAAATCACGAAAGATAATTAAATAATAAATTTTTAACCATTTACTTTGATCTCCGAAAATATTTTCCATTTAAGAAGAAAAACTCGAAAACTTGATTTTTCCTTGTAGTTTCTACAAATCTTTCAGAAATGTGACCATTTGTCTTCGTATGACATACAGAAAGACTGTCCAAGTTTTCCGAGTTATTTCCGCGAAATTCAAAGTCTCTATGTATGTACTTGAAATTAAAAAGCTCCCATTACCCCACCTTCCCTTATCTCACATTTAGAAAATTTTGTCTGCCGTATTTGATCCGCCATTTTAAATTTTCAAAAACTGGATTCCTGGATCCAAAAAAACTCAAAAACCCTAGATTAGATCTTTTTAAAACCTTAGCTTAACTTTATTTTGTAGTTTGAATTTTTGCTGCAAATCTTATTTTATACGTTTTTTCTTTTTTACACTACCGTCCGAAATTGTGCGAACTCTGCTTTTTCACCAACTATAAAACTGTTCAAATCTTCAAAAATATTAAAAATAAAATTTTTTCCTCTTTATTTTATTAAAGTTAATAAAATTCTGAAAGAAATGACACCTTGACAAAGAGAATATGTTAATTTTTCAATTAGATATCTAAGAAAAACCCAATTTTCAATGTTTTTACTATTTTTTTTATTTCTCTGGCAAAAATTAATATTTTTAAACGTTCTTAGGCTCATTGAAATCGTATTTTATTATGCAATTCAAATTATATAAAGCAATTCATGTACATAATCTTCCCTAGCGTATGCAAACCGTCAAAGTTGGTCTTTGTCAAGGTGTCATTTCTTTCAGAATTTTATTAACTTTAATAAAATAAAGAGGAAAAAATTTTAGTTTTAATATTTTTGAAGATTTGAACAGTTTTATAGTTGTTGAAAAAGCAGAGTTCGCACAATTTCGGACGGTAGTGTATTTCTACAATTACGAAATTGGTATTGATTTTATTACACAAAACAGTTTTTTACAAAGTAGAATAAATTTGTTGACCGTTGTCACATGATAATCAAAAATATTTAAATTTATATTCAAAGAAATGGATTTTTTAATACAAAACAGATTTAGATCGAAATCACTTGAGAGGTTAGTAAAAATTGAAAAATTGTTTTGTTCACTAAATCTAGTGAAGAACCTATTTATCGAAAAACATGTTTCGTTTGATTGGCAAAAAATGTATTAAATTTGTAAACCTGTGTAATCTAAATTAGACGTGGTTTGAGTCTGCACGACGCTCTCTATCCGGTAAAAAGACTGAAATTGAATGGAATTAAAAATTTTAATTCGTAAAAAATGATTATATTACATTATCATATGTCGATTATACTGAAAATCAGAGTTTTTTACCTTAAGGCATTGAAAGGAATAAAAAAATAATAAACCAATTCCCCTTTTGGAATAGAAACTTTTCAACTGCACCATTTCGAAATAGAAATAATCGGGATTAAAAATTTACAAAATCTATTCCTTTAAATGGAATACAAATTTCATTTGGAATGGAAAAGAATTAATTTTTAAAATTGTATCCATTTTGAAGGTATTGAAAAAAAGAGGGAATTTTCCGAATTAAATAGAATTAAAATATTTACAATTTTGTAAAATATAGGACATTTTTTATTCTTTTTATTTCGAGGCTTTTTACCGCCGGGTATACAGGGTGTACGAAAGTCTCGATATACGACTAGTACGTTCCTTACAATCTCGATTTTTTAAAAAACCCTTTTTAATCATAAAAAAAAAAATCATAAAATCCCTGGCGGATTGGGAAAACCGAGTTGTAACCGAATTGGGTTACGATTCGGTTACGTTTCGGTTCATTGTGAAATAATATCGTTAATTGACGAAATATGTAGTAAATAACTATTAGTAATGGTTAATATACATTTAGAGAGCTTATTTATGCAATAATAATAATAAATTAAGATATAATTAATTAATAATAAGTGTTTTAAGTGTACAGTGCATACAGTTGTTGAATTACCATATACATATATGTATATTACCATTAGCGGCAGCTGTGATACGCGCGTTAAGGATCACTTTTTCGAATGAATTTCTAAAATTAAGCCCTTGAGTGTCAAATGTGTAAGTGAATATATAAGTTTTAAAAAAATAGATCAATTTATTAAAACAACTTTTTTGATTTGTACAAATATAAAAAATAAATTTTTATAACGAACAAAAATTTTTTTAATGAGAAAAAGTTTTTTTCAAAATTAATCTTTTTTATTTTATTGAAGAAAAAGAAATTTTATTAAGAAAAAAATGTTTATTTTTGTTATTTGTTTAATTATTATTATTGTAATTATTATTTAAAATTATTTTTGTTATTTGTTTAATTATTATTTTTATTTTCATCAATAAAATGAGAAAGATTAATTTTGAAAAAAAAATTTTTATTCTTAAAATAATTTTTTTCCTCAATGAAATGAGAAACATTAATTTTGACATAAAAAAACTTTTTTTCCCTAAAAAATTTTTTTTTTCTGAATAAAAAAATTTTTTTTCTCAATAAAATGAGAAAGAATAATTTTGACACAAAAAAAACTTTTTCTTATTAAAAAAATTTTTGTTCGTTATAAAAATTTATTTTTTATATTTGTACAAGTCAAAAAAGTTGTTATAATAAATTGATCTATTTTTTTAAAACTTATATATTCACTTACACATTTGACACTCAAGGGCTTAATTTTAGAAATTCATTCGAAAAAGTGATCCTTAACGCCATCTAGGGTTTAACGCGCGTATCACAGCTGCCGTTAATGGTAATATACATATATATGGTAATTCAACAACTGTATGCACTGTACACTTAAAATACTTATTATTAATTAATTATATTTTAATTTATTATTATTATTGCATAAATAAGCTCTCTAAATGTATAATAACCATTCCTAATAGTTATTTACTACATATTTCGTCGATTAACGATAATATTTCACAATGAACCGAAACGTAACCGAATCGTAACCGAATCGTAACCCAATTCGGTTACAACTCGGTTTTCACAATCCGCCAGGGATCATCAGTAATAACTAGTATTTCGAGATACTAAAAGTTTAAAAGTGTTCTAATGATTTTCTAATGATTTTAAAACACTTTTAAACATGTACACATGTCACTGTAAAAAATATTTGATTTAATTTTGATAAAATAATCATTAAAACTTAATAGTTTAAATATTCCTGCAGAGAAATATTGTTTGGCGATTGAAAAAAAATAAAATATACCTAAGGATTTTATTGAAATTTTACGAAAAAACAATTTTAGCCATAATATAAAATACACATGGGAAACTTCAAGGGCTTGGCGGCGTCATTAAATAACAAGCGATTACAAAATAAAAAAAATTCGGCAGCTCTCTACGGGGCGGCCACATTCTCATTACTCTACGCACTCCGTTTATCTTTTGGACTCAAAACAGATAGTACATTTGACTACTTTTTAACTACCCTGAACAATTCAGAAGTACTGTAAAAAGAAAATACTAAAATAGTACAGATTTTAGGTATCAAAATAGAACCAAATGACAATTTAGTACCTAGATTCGGTATTAAATTAATACCTTTCGTTCTACAGTGAAGCATTAAACAAAATTTTAAAATTGTATCGATTATTTTAAGAAATTAGTTAAAAGAACTAAAAATGCAGTTGGTAAAATGAACTAATTTTTATTAATTCCATTTAAAATAATTCAAATTAAATACATACTCACAAAGACTTAAACTAAATAAGGCAGTACTTACATTGCCTTTCGGGAAATTAGATTCGGGAATATGACCGGGAATCAAGTGTAATACTTATTACATATCATAATAAGAGTGTAAACAAATATTAGGACGATTCCCATAATTAGCAATTATTCAAATACTATTTGAATTTAATAAACTTATTCCATAAAAATTAATTTTAATGCAATTTTTAAATAATTTGTTGAATAAAAAATTTAATAATATAGGTATTTAAAGTATGAAAAGAGTCAAGCATTTTCGAAAAGTATTCTCTTAATTTAGATCAGAGCATATTTATAGACTGTAAAATTAGAAAAATTTCACTAATTCATAAGTATGTATTATAACAAAACTAAATTTCTTTAACTAATTTTGATTTAAGCCCATTGAGACCAATGTTTTTTTAAAGGAGATTAATAATATTTTTTATTAGATATTTATTTGATGTTATTAATCCCTTTTTCCAGACCATTATTTTCAGTAAGCATACATACAAATGGTATGATTTAAAATATGTTTATCACTGCTTGTAATAATTATTTTTTCAGATCTTTCTAGATGTGATTCAAACATACTTCTTTATCAGTAATGTAGTGTATTATCAGAAAAATCCAGAACGATGTATTTATAAACCACAACTAGAAAGTTAAATTAATAGGTTTTATATGCTTGCCAAATAATGCATTTTTCTATACCAGATACCCAGGAGTTATTAGACGAATCTGGAAACAGTTATTTGGTGAGAGTTAATAATTTTTAAATTAACAGAGGTCCTAAAAGATATTTATTCTATTGTCTAGTAACGAAAAAATGACAAAAAGACTTTTTAAAAAGATTGTTATTTTGGTAGGGGTATAATATACACATAAACGGATTGTTTCACTGTACAGTGAGATATAAACAACTGCACAATTTGCACGAACAGTTAATTAAGGATTATGATGCAAGTCACCTGTCTTTTCCACCGAAAAAGTTTTTTCCTTTAACTATAAATCAACAGGAGGATCGTCGTGGTGCTCTTGAAAAATATATACAATCAATAGGACAAAACACGACAATTAATAACTCACCATTGTTAAATGGATTTCTACTTAATGCTCAATTAGAAACGGAAGGACGTAATCTTAGATTAGAGAATTTGAATATTTATCTGCATAATTGGCAAAAAATTACACTAGAAGTTATAAATGCTGAAAATTCAAAACAGGTTTTAAAAGTAAGTATCAAACAACTGTGAAAATAAAAGAAAGGGTAAAAAAAATAAAAGAGGTTGCTGATGGTGAATCTGAAGTTATTTTTTAGAAATTCAAAATGGCGGACAACATTTTTAAAAGAAGTTCAAAAATTCGTTTTTTGCTTGAAACTTTCTATATAAATGTTTTTGAGGTCGCTCATGACGAATATGAAGTTATTCTTTATAAATTCAAAATGGCGGACAAAAATTGAAAGAATACAATTAATTGACGTCTTCATGTTTGTATAATGAATTTTTTATTTTCAATTTGGTTCAATACATTATTATGATTAAATTACAGGTTTAATTGCACCTTAAGGCGATAAATAGGTTATTTATATAATTTTCTGAAAACAAAAACATTCATAAAGAAAGTTTCAAGCAAAAAAACGAATTTTTAAACTTTTTTTAAAAAAATTTGTCTGCCATTTTGAATTTTTAAAAAATAACGTCAGATTTGTAATCAGCCACCTTAAAAACTATTGAATGATATGTTTTCCGCAAAAAAACAATTCTTTCTGCTTTTTTTATCTTTTGTCTTTTGAAAAAAAAACTTTAGATTCATAATCAGCAACCCTGAAAACTGTTAAAGAATGAGTTTCAGAATTATATACCTCGTTTTAGCTTTTCATTTGTAAGAGTATTTCAAAATTTTTGACTTTTTGACTTTTGACAGCTCTATTGGCATCAAAAATGAAATTTTTTAAAAAACGCCCATAGGCATCTTAAAGTACACGAATGTAGAAATCTTTTAAGGCCTAGAACGTTTAAATCTATTAAACCTATTTTTGTTTAGAGCTCTGTCCGTGTTGGCGTGAAATGTCCCATACATATCAGGTATTCCACGCCAAATTAGACAACATTTTGCATTTAAATTTCCGATTTAAAAAGAAAATTTTTTTTAGTACTCATGGTTTCTAGCATTCATGATTTTTTTGAATTACTTTAGCAAGCAGTTTACGAGACATAAATTTTTCAATATTTCAGAATTTTAATGATTTTTATTTTTAAATGCTCTTGAATTACTTAAAATTGCATCAATTTTAAAAATTTTGTTTGTTTAATTTTATGTTTTTACGAGAACTTTTCGAAAAGTCGGTGCAAAAAGTTATGGAAAAATTAATTTACTATATTTTTTGCAATTTTTAAAATTCGTTTCTGAATATCGTTTCCTCACGATCGGACCAGACTTAAAATTTTTGTAAAAGGATGTAGTTTTTTTTGAAAATTTCTTCAAAAAATTAAAAGATACAAAACTCTTGATTTTAGTGCTAATGCAACTCACACTTCTCTGATTTATTAAATGAGTTAATATTTTAAGTATTTTTTTAATTTTATACAGGATAACAACCCACACAGCACATTGTATTTCCTAAATATTTTCTGAATATTTCATTTGAAAGATTTGAAATATTTCAAATTTTGACTCATGAAATCAATCGGAATTTTCTAATATGTTCAACATCCATAGGATTCTAAAGGCGGTTCCAGAATAGGTGCAAAAGCGAAGTACAAGTGCAAGTCCAAGTGCAAATCCAATGAGTGCGAAAGAAATAGGTAGTCTATCTATCTCTCTTGCACTCATGGGATTTGCATTTGGACTTGTACTTGCCTTGCCACAGAAACTGAGATGGACAAGTATGCATCATTTCAGTTAAATATTTCTAAAATATTTCAATAACATATTTTTGCAACGAATGCTGCAATATTTCTTCGCATGTGGACATTTCCTTGATTTTAGAAAAATTTCAAATTCAAGGACTTCGCATTGAAATATTTCAAATTTTTGAATGAAATATTCAGGAAATATTTGAGGAATAATCTCCCATATATTTGTAAATTAATTATTTATGTATTTTTTAGAAACTCTGTCGCCATATGAAATTACCTGAACGATACGATTCTTATTTTTCACTTTTCATTACTGTACAAGATGAAGATGACAATTTAAGAAGTAAGTTTTATCAAGAGACTTATTTTATTCACTATTTTGTATGTTATTATACACTACAACAAACTGTTAATTAATAATTATTTAGAAACTTTCAATAATTAAAAATTTAACTCAAAAAACGTAGTAAATCAAAGTTATTTCCTTGTTTTTCTATTTCGATAAAACTTAGAAAATTCTAAGTAAACGAAAGACACCATTGGTTAAAAATAATTGTTCAAGGTTCAAATGAATGAAAATAAGACTTTAGAAAAGTAGTTTTACTGACGGTTTATTTTAAATAATATTTTGAATCTATAATTTTCAAGAAGTGTATAATAAAACGGTTATAAAACTTTCAGTTGTACGTAAACTTCAGGATTTTGAATCTCCGGTTATAACGCTCAAAGCTGCTCAAAGAAGTGACACAAAAATTATTTTTGGAAAATGGTTTTGGGACATAGGTTACGATTTGGAATTGATACATGATTCTGTGGCCCTCAATTTACTGTATATTCAAACAGTCGCCGAAGTTGAGCGTGGATGGATTGTTGTTCCAAAACAAATGAGGCATCAATTGGTCTCACATTGTCAACATATTGAAAAAAAAGAAGTAATTATTTTCTTTAAGATTTTTTTTAATAAAGCCTATGCAGAATTACAACATAGAATGTAACACTGTATTTATAGTTAGGATGACAGGTTGACGGTTATTTTACTATTGTCTTACTTAGTTTCAGAGTCATACTCCATGAGCCGTTTTTTATCATTGTCCTTTTTGCCTTTTTTCACCTATACATTCTGTAACTGAATGATTGCTTGTAAGAGACCTTTTCATTCACGGTGAGCTTGAACTATAAGTTTAAATCAAAGTTCAAGTGAAATGGGATTTTCCTGTTGATTCCAATACTGGCAACCTCGCTGAGTATTTTTCAAGAAAAATTAAAATAATTCGCGTAGGGTACAGTGACCGACAACCTGGGCATACTTTCAACTTTAAATGACATTTTATGGGAATTTATAAAAGATTTAGTCATAAAATAAATTTCAAATAAAAGATTTGGGTTACAATTTATAGTACATAAGTTTAAAATTAAAAAACACTTTGATAATAGTTTATAATATTAATTTAAAAATTATGGTATGAAAACAGTGAATAAAGTAAAAATAAAGTAAAAAATATTTAAATTACTATTTAAGTAACATGATATTTATTAATATTATCACAAATTTTATTATTCAGATTTAATGTACAAAAAAAGTTGCTTTTAAAATACAGGGTGTCCCATTTTAATCTATCCGGCGAAATAACTTTTAATCAGTTGATTTTACAAAAAAATGTTTTAGACAAAATTTATTGTGCTCACAGGGGAACATCCAGTGGTAAACTTTAATTTGACCTAAATGACCTCATTTAGGTCATTTCAAGGTCAACTCATTTTTTTTAAATGAAACCACCTACTTTTTATGCCGGAAATCGATAAAGCAGGAAATTCCACGTCGAAATCGTTGATGCACTTTTTTCGATAGATCGACCTATTTAGGACAAATAGGTCATTTAATTATTATTGCATTTGGGGAAATAACTTTAAACTAATTAATTTTACAAAAACATGTTTCAGTCAAAAGTTGTTGTGCTTAAAGGGGAATATTCATTGATGACCCGAAATTTGTCCTAAATGACCAGAATTAGGTCATTTCATTTTCAACTCATTTTTTTAATGGAACCATCTACTTTTCATGTTACAAATCGGAAGAGCAGGAAATTCCACGTTGAAATCGTCTAAGTACTTTTTTCGACGGGTCGACCTATCCAGGTCAAATAGGTCATAATTAATTTTACCTACAAGGCCTTGGTTGGGTCTAGTGTTTTTTACATAATAATTTTTGCCCTGACGATTCCTTGCATAAAAACTTAATCTTTCTTCATGAAAAATTATTTGACATAGACTAGATCTAACTAAGGCCTTGTAGGTGAAATTAATTATGACCTATTTGACCTGAATAGGTCGACCTGTCGAAAAAAGTACTTGGACGATTTCAACGTGGAATTTCTTGCTCTTCCGATTTGTAACATGAAAAGTAGATGGTTCCATTAAAAAAAATGAGTTGAAATTGAAATGACCTAATTTAGGTCATTTAGGACTTCTAGCGAGAAGCAATACTTCTAAGAGATATACGAGTCTCATTATTAACGCGAATTCAATTTATGTGCTGCGACGCACTCTTTTCTTTCTTCCAATGTATAACACATTTTACTATCATTAAATTATTCAGTTTTCTTAATTGTTTGCTCTTTATTAATTTGTGTGCCTTTTAACGATGGATCAATAATAAAGGAATGATAATTCACCAGCGAAACAGCGATCTGCGAATTGGTAAGTTCGATCAATCCTTGTTCTTCTTACCTAGTAACTTGTCTCAATAATATTCTTATTCGCAACTGCTCAATGGATTTCGCCGCTGGTCGAATCTTTCTTTAAATTACATGGATTTCAGGAGTTTTCTTCAAATACATTGTGTCGACTGTCGTGAGCTGAACCCTTATTCTCTAAATCATTATTTAAAATCAAAGTCTCGCGAAGTTCGCCACACATGTTTTTGTAAAATTAATTAGTTTAAAGTTATTTCCCCAAATGCAATAATAATTAAATGACCTATTTGTCCTAAATAGGTCGATCTATCGAAAAAAAGTGCATCAACGATTTCGACGTGGAATTTCCTGCTTTATCGATTTCCGGCATAAAGTAGGTGGTTTCATTTAAAAAAAATGAGTTGACCTTGAAATGACCTAAATGAGGTCATTTAGGTCAAATTAAAGTTTACCACTGGATGTCCCCCTGCGAGCACAATAACTTTTGTCTAAAACATTTTTTTGTAAAATCAACTGATTAAAAGTTATTTCGCCTGATAGGGAACGTTTACATATGACGTCACGCATTAGAGGAAAGGGGGGGGTCTTGGTCAAACGTGACAAAACGTGACATGGCGTACGGGGGGGTTCAGTTCCTTCGTGATGTCACGAAGTATGTTTACTACTTTTATAGTAGAATTTTGAATTTGATACCTTTTCCCGCGAATCGAATATCAAGGCCTATGTCATGCGTATTATATCATCATATTAATAACTTTGTTTAAGAAAAAAATATTTATAAGTATATAATTGCAAGAAAAAATAAATTATTTTTATCAGAAACCCTTTTTATTACATTTAAGTTATCTTAACATTTATTATTTCTTTAAAAACAATTTTAATACCTTAGAAAATTTTTAAGATTTAAAAAAAACAAAAAAAAGGGGGGGGGTGTTTAAAGAACTTGACGTCCATTATCAAGGGGGACTTGTCAAATTGTGACAGAGCGTGACAAAGGGGGGGTAGGGGTCAAAAAAGCTGAAAATTAGCGTGACGTCATATGTGAACGTTCCCATAGATTAAAATGGGACACCCTGTATATAATTATTTAACAATTTCTTTATATTTATAAAATTCGTAATCAATAAAACAAATTTTTTGAGGTTATAGTTTTCTAGAAAGTACCATATTGAGGAAAATATAAACATAAAATTTTGTGTCAACTGTATCAGATTCTAAATATCGTATATTAATTAATTTACTAGTGATATTTAATTCAATATTGTTTCTATAGTTATTATCGTTTTTAATAGTAGGTGTCGGTCACTGTCCATTTCTGAAAAAAATCCATTTTTGTTTTAAAATTCATTAAATTAAAAAAAATGACAAAGTATAACTAATTGTAAGTTGTATAAAAATACTTTAAAGTATACTTTCAAAAACGGCTCCGTGAATTATTTTAATTTTTTTTTAAAAATATCAGGGAGGTCTCCAGTATTAGAATCAACAGGAAAATCCCATTTTGCTTGAGCTTTGATTTAAACTTGCTTCAAGTTTATAACGACTATGTAGTTTGCTTTTCATGTTCACGTTTTCATTTTGCTTACACCTGTAGATGATTATTTTTTTCTGAAAATTTATTGTGCATTTAATCTATTTTAATTTCGAGAAACAAGTTTCAAGCGAATCTAATAAACTTGAAAAAATTCGCCATTTTCAATTTTGTGAATCAGCTGTCATATTTAACGTCCTTGAAAACCTGGAAAACCGTAGAAAATGTTATATAAACATAAAATCACACATGTAAATGTGAAAAAAAGTTATTATCCAAAAACTCCATGGAAAGCCAGTTAAGGGTTAAGTGATAATTGACAGCTTTCCATGGAGTTTTTGGATAATAACTTTTTTTCACATTTACATGTGTGATTTTATGTTTATATAACATTTTCTAGGGTTTTCAAGGTTTTCAAGGTCGTTAAATATGACAGCTGATTCACAAAATTCAAAATTCAAAATGGTTAAGGGTTAATCAAAGTAATCTTATGCGTGTAACAGTCCTTGGTACAGCGAAATTTTTGTGCCTGTGGAATAAAAAATAATTTTAAAAAATTTTGTTTCAAAACATCAAGAAAATGGAAACAAATCAATTGAAACTTTTAAAATAACAATTCTTATGTATCAAATTTATCATTTTTTAGGGTTCCGTACACCTTCGGTGTACCGACGAACCCTTATGAAAAGACTCTTGCGTCCGTCCCAGCTTTGTGTCCCCCCCTTGCGGCTACAGTATTTAATATAGAGAGCTGAAATTTGGTACATACATGTATTATCACGTGTAGATTACAGGAAAATTATAGAGAGACCGATTAAATTTGATGGCTACGAGCTAGAAAGGAAAGAAATTGGCTTTTTCGAAAAAATGTCAAAAAATGACCCTGCCCCCCCTCCTTAATTTCTACATTTTTGTATATGAAGAATTGCAATTTAGTACACATACATATTTTCACGTGTAGATTACAGAAAAAATATAGAGACCGATTAAATTTGATTGTACTCGCACTTGTCCGCTTTTTTTTACTCTAATTAAATGATAATTGCCAGCTTCCCCAATTTTTTTCTTACACACAGAAAAAAGTTTCCTTTGTTTCAAAGAATGTTTCTTTGAATCAAAGAAATTTGTGCATTGGTATAGGGTCAAAGAAAAATTTCTTTGATTTAAAGAAATTACTTCTTTATTTGCTTTTTATTGACTTAAAGAATTATTTCTTTGATTTTACGAAATTTTTTATTTGAATCAAAGTAATAAATGTTTAGTTTAATGCACAAATTTCTTTAAATGGTAAATATATTTATTTTGTTTTGAGATTGTATATACGTTCATATTTTGATTACATTATAGTTTAAAAATATTAAATTAATTAAATATTTTTGATATACTTGAAATGTATTTCAAAGACATGTAATTAATTTAATGCGCATTTTTACATGTAAAACACTGAATAAAACTTCATAGCAGAATTTTGATCACTAAGAAAACAATCATAATACTCTGCGAATCACTATTTACACATACATCACTCGTAAATCCCAAAGACACGAACAATTCACAAACTTCTTTATTACTCACTGTAAGAAATACTAAAACAAAATTTAGCTATTAATACAACACTTTTTAGACCATAAATCCGATTATAATTATCACGCCATGAAAACGCTGCCATGAGGCACACACAGCTGTTTACTAATTTACGTAGTCTGCGCAAACACAGTCAAGGCAACTCAGCGTACTTAAGTTCGAAACAAATATTTCTTTGAATCAAAGAAATTTTTCTTTAGGTTAAAAAAATCATTCAAAGAAAAAATTTCTTTGATTCAAAACACTCAAAAATTCCTTTTTCGTAAAAGCAAAGAAAAAATTTTTTAATTCAAACAAATTTTACCTTTTATTCAAAAAGTGAGTTTAAAAAGACGATTTCTTTGTTTGAAAGAAATCTTTTCTCTGGATGTATATTTACATGTGTGTGCGAGAAAGTTGAACGATTTTTCGATTTAAAAAAATTTTAAAAGATACCAAAATATTTAATTAACGAAAAAGTAGCCAAAACTCACGTAAAATTAATGTTACAATGTAAGCCGTTACAGGCACGCTTTCCCATTAAGATAGAGGGCTCAATTTTATGGGAATTTTTTTTCTTATCAAATTTGGGGGTGGAATGAAACGAATTCCACAAGCTTTAAAGAATAAATGGGCATTTTCTAGTATTAAGAAACTGCAGTAGATAGGAAATACATTCTACAGCGCTGGAGTGGGTATTTCATCGTAGGCAAAAGGTTAAAAATGAAAAATATCCATATTTTCAAAACACTTTCAGCTAGGATTTAAATTCCATCTTTTTTTATGTACAATCAACCCAGAATACAGTGTCGTTTCCAGTTCTTATCGCTATTTTCATGCAACCATGCTTCAAATCAAGCCTACTGTGGATAATAATAATTTCCTAAATAATTTGAACATTTATCTTCCTACGTCGAAGACAGTTTTACACATTTAATAAAAAAGCGATTTATAATTTACCTTTCAGTATTTAAATCTAGCTCGAGGATTAAAGTATTATGGATATATACAATTTGCTCCTTGTGTATGTGATTATCCTCAAGTTGGTACGAAAGTGCAAGTGGCAATAGGTAAGAATGAATTAACATTAAGGATACTTAAAATTAAGGATGAGGATCAGGAAGCAGTCTTCAGAGTAACTCGCATGCGTTGTTGGAGAATAACAACATTAAGCAATGTAAGTTAAATACTAAATGATCGTAATATAATAATGCTTATTTTATTACTTAGTCGCATTCATTAAAAATTATTATTAACAATTCTCTTAATAAATGTATTTCTTTTAGAATTTTTAAGGTTTGAAAACCACGACAAAAATTAAAGATAAATTTGCTAGCAAAAATTTTTTATCTTCGTTTGATCTCTTCTTTTTTCACAGGGTGTAGACAAATGTGACGAGAATCTTGAATGCAGTTTAGAATTGTCGTTTGAGTATCTCATGTCTAAAAAACAGTTGCAATGGATTACAATTTCTTCCGAACAGGCAATTTTAATGTCCGTATGTTTACAGTCCATGATTGATGAATTGTTATTGAAAAATGTTGGTGGAGTTAAAAATCAGGTTTGATTTTTTGTTTTTAAATTACTCTATTGATGTTAATACTATAATACTATAATACAGTTCAATTTTATTTCAGATATAAAAATTAATTTTAATTCATATTATAAATTACGAAATTTTTAAACCAACCAACATAAAATTTAGAATCTAAAATATATTTTTAAAAATGTTGACCTACCCACTTTATTATAATAAAAAAATTATTGCGTTGAATTTTTTAAAAAGTTGGTATCTGTTCATTTAATACATAAAAATGTAAAGTAAATTGATTTTTTTTAACGACTATGCTGTCTTCTTCATATACATGCAATTATAATTTTTTAAATATTAATATACCAATATATATATAATTTATTTTTTTGTTCTAAATTTAGGATTTAACAGAAAAAGTATGGACGTATATCACGAGAGATGGTGAGAATCGAATTTTCATGGGTTCGCTGATTTCTGAAGACTTTAACCAATCAAATAAGGTATTTTGGAAACATAATAAACAAAAAAAAATTTTAAATCATAGGAAAAAGTAAAGAATTAAAAATTGTCATCGAAAAATTGTTACTGGGTTAGAATTTCTCAAGTTGACCTAAAATTTGCAAAGGTTGGAATTTATCAATGTAAATGTACAAGAAAATAGTTCTGCTATAGTTACAAATAACCTGTAAATTTGATTGAAAATAATTCAATTGTTTATTTTTTAAAAACAATTGAAATTTTGTTCTAACATTTTTCAAAATCGAATAACTTAAACAAAAATTGACGAAACCTGATGATTAATTTGAATACTAATTATGAAATTCCAAACTTGATAAATATAATTTTTACGTTTTCGAAACTTTCAATTTCTTATTAAAAATAATTGTTTATTCTAAACAAATTAAAAAATAAAATCAGACATGTGCGAGTTACACTCGAACTGAAATGGAGGGTTCCGTACACTCTTATTCATGACGCGTACACACATGCGTAACTATTATGGGGACAAAAAAGGAACCTAAAGACGGACCCCCATAGCCCTTCGGCAGATCCAAATTATTGTGCTGAAATTGTACATTTTTTTACCACAACTGGTACAAGTTTTAGTAGCGTCTCAACCGAGAACCCTCTTAAGATAACTAAGAAATCATGCGCATAAATTTGAGTATAATAACTTTCTCTGGTGGCATGTCTAGAGTTTTTAGGGTCTATGGCTAGAAAAGTGCCCACCGTATAACCCCTCTTTGTCTAATTAATTCTCCTTCTATTCTTTCCATTGCGGAATGAAGGTCTGATTCTACTGGAAATCTTGCCCCAAGGGCATGTTGTCCTAGATGTAATGGATGATTTACTAAACATGCCTGTCTCATAAACGTATCGATTAACTTCTTCAACGTTTTAAGCATGAAGGAAGTTAAATTGATTCCCTCTTGATTTTTTATCTTTTTAGTTTTATTAAAGTGCTTTTTGACTCTACCCCCATGTTTTTATATTCTTGAGATCCAAGAACCAAGCTTTTTGGGTTGACTGGTTTTTCTCGAACAAAAAAATAATAGAAGCTTGCAGATACTCGGCTGCAAGCGTTCATTCTCTCTTCCTCAGTTTCATAAGAAGAATAAAAGTTTTCCATAGAGGCCCTGAAATCCTCACAACATGAAGACGAATCGGTACTCCTAGGTTTACGAAGCTGTCTAAATCTTATTGTCTAAATGCAATGAGTCCGATAGTGAGTCCTACTCTTACACCATCAAGTCCTGCATATCAACCCACACAGATCTTGAGCCTATGGTGATGTCGAACACCTCTTTCCTGTTTACGGCAACAAATGATGGTGTAAATCAAAAACTGACAAGAAATTTAAAAGTTTCCTTACTCTTCATTGATGTTAATGCTATTGGTGTGCATTAGCATCACAACCTAAAATCAACGTCAGATCCTCCTGATGACGAAATTTCATCAGCTTTGTTACCATAGCCGGTGGTCATGGTTCGTCAATCGATTTTAGAAAATATCAAAAGTCAAACATCCTCTCTTGATTACTTCCGTGTTTATCTCGATATTTTACTTTTATAACCGCTACATGTCAAGTAGTATGCTCGAGAAAAAATACTATACGCGTACTTGGGGGAATTTCTTGTGGTGAGCTTACAAAATCCCCACAGTGTCCAAGAGTATCTTTATTTACATTTAGTTAACAATACCACTTAATTAGTTATTACTTGGATTATAGATAAATGCAAAAAATTCTTCAAAAGATCTACACGCTTGTGCTTGAGTCCCTCCTACTCTATCGTTCAAATGCAGAACATTAGTAACACTATTAATTTTTGCGTGAGAAGGTAATATATTTTCAAAAATTCATAAGATCAAAAACTACATATATTTGGCTTTACGGACATATTTCTAAATCTTGCACCCATTTTTGTCATACCGAGATACTACTGCAGCTATGACTTACTAAACGCCATATTCGAGTTTTATTATGTGCATACAAAGTACGCAACATGAGTTGCACGACGATTGGTATCTGAGGAGTATAATATATACAATAAATGATAAACATAACTTTTCTTTTGTAGGAAACTGAAAGCAGTCAACATACAAAAGGACCTATCATGAAAAATCTAAGTGAAAAAATTGGAATAACAAAAATTAAAAGGCCAAGTAGAAATTCTAAAATGTTATTTTCTAAGTCAGAAAGGACTGATTGTGATACAATGGAAAACAATGCATTTCATGTTATTGGAGACGATGATCTTTAAAATGCCAATGAGAACCGTATGTAATTAATTTAAAATTAACAACGGCATACAAATAATTATCCAGCTGAAATAATCCTCCTGGATTTTTTTAATTTGAAGAAATTTTTTCATATTTTTAACCATAAGGGATATTTAAAAATGGACATATTAAACATTTATTTAACATTTTAAAAATCCATGTTGACCGTTTCACATCACCATTAATTTCCACGTGAAAAATCCGGACTGAAATCTATGCTAATGTTTTCAGCTGGGTAGGAAATCTTATTTCAACTAGCCTTTTTTTTAGCCAATATATAAATTCAGAAATATACATTTTAATACAGTGGTACCTCGATTATCCGAACTAACTTAGGTAGGATCGGGTTCGGAATTGATTTTGAGAATTTTTGTCTATGTGGAATTGGTACTCCTGCGCAGGTTCAACAACCAAGACCTCGACTCATTAAAACATGTAGATTACAAACGACAAAATAAAGATGCAACTAAAACAAGTCAAGTTGTTAAATGAACAACGAAGAAGACATTGCCAATAATTATGGTATTTTGCCGTGAGATTCTTACAATAATAATCAAAAATTTCCCGATGAAGAAATGATACTCTGTACATGTATTCAGCTCATTTTACACGCAAAGAAACTGTACACTTATCCCTTTGTGACAGAGGTCAAGCACATTTTTGTAAAATTTTAAATTACCGTTTATTACTCCAAATTTTGATAACTGATTATTAATTAGCAATTGTCAATTAATTATCAATTATTATTCCATTGTTTACATCCAGATTTTTATATCCTAATATAAACTTTTAAATGACTACTTGCAACCCTACACTGCAATGAACGGTAATTTTGTTTGTTCCTGCAAGATTAACGAAAAATTATTTATTCTTTACTAATAAAATCCACAGATTTATAACTACGAAAAGCATTCTATAATAAGTAGGCTTAGTAAGGAGGCCAATGAAATCTCTGGTGATATTGATTTTTTTGAATGTAATGTAACGAGATTCACCTCATTATTACGTCGACTTGTACTTGACTTTAATTAGTAAACGGCAAGCTAGACATTATTTGTATTTCCTATTCTAATGTTATAAATATGTTGCGTGTGCAACTTCTAGTTTTTTAGGAATACCAATGTATGAAAGGGCTTGTCCCGTTTGTTCAATAAATAAATAATAATTTTCAATTTTTAACATGTTTCCAAATTTTACTCCATAATGATTTATTTAATTTTCAGAATTAAAATTAAAAAAAAATACTTATGTTATAAATTTTTATTTTGTCATCCCTAGAGTATCCAAGAGAATATCAACCACGCCATCTATAGGAGGTCCAAATTAAATACGCCTCCGATATGCATTGGCTACTCGAAAAAATCCTATCCGCGAGAGTGTTACCTCTGATTCCCTTATGAGAGAGAATACACAGAAACTTCTTCTTCTTCTTCAAAAAAAAAAAAAATTGTATATGGTGTGGCTTCGATAATATCAGGCCAATTCGATGAAACTGTAGTTCTTAGACGTGGTGAATGCACACAAAGTCCTGAATCAAAATAACAATGTGGTGAAAACCATTCTAATGTATAATGAAAACTTGTAACTTGAAGCAAAGTATAAGAAGAAAGGTTGTATCGAGTCCGAAGTAGTCTTAGAAAAAAGGTTAAAGCGCAGCACACGAGTGTAACGTTGTTTATGTATGTTGATTACATCAGAGTGGTGTGAGAATAGGTGACTGTATCGTGAAGCAAGGCGTGAGTATAATAGCTGTGTCCAGTCCAAAGCAGGGTGAGTGAGCAGGCAGTGTCGAAGCAACCGTGTTGAAGCACGCATGCGTGATGCAGTCTTTCTATGTTGCTTGCAGCAAGGTTGTGGAGAAACAAGGTATTTGTAAAGCTCAATGGATGCGTGGAAAGGAAAATTGGAAGCATAGATGGGAGCCCCCTCCCAACCGAACCAAAGTGAATTATAATAAGCAGTACAAACAATGCATTTTCAAAACTTATAGACGTATCAATAGCAACTCAATGAACAAGATCGATGTAACTGCTCACCGATGTGATCCCATGGCGCCACCCCGCGAGGGCACAACTGAGCCGTCCCGAGGTGAAGCCGCAGGGATGGGAAGTCCGAGTGTGTGGGAAGCATGATGTGTAGATCGGGTCCGAGCTAGAGGCCTGAGACAGATGTAAAATAAATATATCGCCTTGGCGGCTAGATAAAACCCTTAGATTAACTAAAAACTAAACTTTGAAACAATAACAAGTGTAACTTAACCTAGGATCCTACGTGCTAAAACTTAAAAAACTAATAGAAATAAAGTAAACAAATTTAATAACTACGGAGGTAGGTGAGATTAAATTAGTACACCGCGCCCAATAAAAAAATCCCCTAACTCCGAGACAGATTCTAGGTCTGGATGGAATATAAGAGCAGTAAGTTTTGCTTCCAGGTTGGAGATATCATTGAACTTTTTCCTGACAAAGTTAATGAAGTTCGGGCGGCCAGGATTAAGTAAAATGCAGTGGTTGAGCAGATGAGGAATAGAACCTATGCCCTCCCCACAAGAACAATGGGGGGGGGGGATATTCCAGTTCATTCGCAGAAAGTGTGCGCCGACGCATATGTGGCCAGACCTGAGACGAGATACCAGATTGATATAATTCCTAGGCAGATCAAAGCTCCGAAACCAAGGTCTATCCACCTTATGATTCACATATTCAAAATATATCTGAGAGCATCTTCGGGGATCGAAAAATGGCCATTGAATGTTAAAACTAGCTTGATGGTCCTTTTCAATGAGATTTTTAATCTCCTCCATACTAGGATGAGAGAGATAGCCCGTAAAAGGGGCATTACTAATATCAAGAGAAGCAGCCATTTTAGCAAGACGGTCGGCTTCAGTGTTACCCTCCAGGTCCAGGTGGGCAGGGACCCATAAGAAATTAATCAGTTGACCTTTCTTAGTGATATTGATAATGATGTTAACGATATCATGAATAATGGGGTCAAGGGAGAAGTTTGCGACCCTATCCTTCAAGGCAGAGAGGGAACCAAGAGAATCCGTACAGATAATGGATTTATTTATATTGTAATCCCTGACATATTTGCAAGCCTGAAATATGGCGAAAAGTTCCACGGAAGTAGACGAAAAGCAGCCCCTAACTTTAGTGCCATGCCTGAAATTAAGACCTGGAACGAAAAAACTGGCACCAGCTTCGTCATTAGACAATTTGTACGACCCGTCTGTGAAAATAGACGTAAAGTTCGGATATCGCGCCTGGAGAAAATCGTTTAAAGAAGTCTGATGTGACTTTGATCTCCTGATATTAAACCCCTCCTTGAGATCAATAAGAGGAGACAACTCAAACATCAGGTCAGACCAAACTTGGTTGTAGTAGCCAGGCCGCCTCGGTTTTTTGGGTGTATCAAAAATATCATAAGTAGGTCTGAGGTGGACGAGCAAAGGTAGGGTTGAGGCGTACTTAGGAAAATTTCGTTGATTTTTGCTTTTTAGATCCAAATGTGCAAGCCTTTTTGCCGTAGGGTTATCACTCCAGGAGCAAATTCTAATCGCGTTTCTGTGCAAGGCAAGATGCCTTCTAAGGTGGAGAGGAGGTTCATTAGCTTCTGACAATACTATAGGAATCGGAGTGGAACGCATAAAACCCAAAGCCGACCTTAAGGCCCTGTATTGCGCTTTATCCAGTTTTGCTAAAGTGCTTTTGGAAGCTCCGGCGAAAAGAATAGAACCCCACTCCAAATGAGCCCTAATCAGCCCCTTGTAAATCAATAGTAAGGTTTCCGGGTTTGCGCCCTTGGATACTCCTCCCAGCACTTTTAAAACATTGATAGCTTTGAAAGCTTTCGCAGCAATGTATTCAACGTGCAGTTTCCAAGAAAGCTTGGAGTCCAGAAGGATACCCAGATACATGATGGAATCGACAATAGGGATCTCCTGACCCTCTAGTTCCAGGCGAAGATGCTGATCAACAAGAGACCTTCTATCGAAGAGGCAGAGCTGACTCTTCGAAGGGGAAAAGTTAAGACCAGCCTCAAGCAACCACGGAGAGAGGGAGCGCACCGCTTGAGCCAAGAGATTTAGGGCGTCCGTTGCGGAAGTATATCGGCAGTAAAGTAATATATCATCGGCGTATTGAAGAATCCGCACCCCTGGTGGAAGACGTGAGCAAATGTCTCTCAAAGCTAAATTAAATAACAACGGGGAGAGAACGCCTCCCTGTGGAACTCCAACCCCACATTCATAGGTCCTTAGGTCGTCCTCCTTAAATGAGATGTTCCTTCTACAAACCATGTGTGCGACGAAGTTTCTCAACCTTGTCGGAGTACCGCAGCGTGCAAGATGGTCAAGAATCTTAGAAGGAAGGAGGGCATTGAAAGCCCCCTTAAGATCGAGAGCAAGGGCAGCCGTACCCTGGCCCAAGGTGAACCCCTTGAGAACATCAACCACAAGAACCGAGACACAATCGGTAACTGACCTGTTCTTCCTAAAACCAAACTGGTGGGGGGGAATCAGGCGGTTAAATTCAACATGGTGATCCAGCCTTTTTTGAATTAAGCGTTCCATTAGCTTGCCAACTGAAGAAGTAAGAGAGATTGGTCTGTACCCCTTGCCCCCAGGTTTGGGGATAAATTTAACTAAAGATTCCGTCCAGGAATCAGGGAAGATTGAGAAGCGAAAGCACACATTAAGGATATCCCTCAACTCTTCAAGGCTTGAGAGGGGAAGTTTACGAAAAATAATATTCGGGATTTGATCCTTTCCAGGCGCAGAGTCCTTTTTACATAGGTTGATGGCCCAATTCAATTCATCGCGTGAAAAAGGGAGGTTGTACGGGTCCTCCTCTCGCAACACCGGCATCATCTGAAAATCGATTGGGGAAACCTCTTCCCTAAACACAGAAACTTACAAATGAAATAAGAAGGTTGGTTAGTTGGTTGGTTTGGTTAATGGCCTTGTGTCCCCGGAGGTCAAATAGCCAGATGCTTTATGTCAGATCCACAGTTCAAGCCACATGCAGAATCTTGCTGCCATTAAGCTCGGACCACAATTATGCATGTTCGCAAATTCTCGCCAATTTTATTTTGATTTCTCTTTCTATATTCTAATTGCGAGTAGAGTTCCTAGAGCTAGAACTCTCGAGACGAGTACTCATTTCTCAGAAAGGTCGCAGATTTGAAGGGAAATTAGGACTTAACTCTGGGCGGATTGAGTAATCTGGTGAAAACACTCATCCTCCCACAGCCACAAGGTCGATTTGAATTTCCCAGTCACCCAAATTCAGTCCAGTAAATTGACAATAATCAGAATAATAATAATAATAATAATAAAAGGAAGAAAAACAAAAAAAAAAAAAAACATAAATGAACAAAAGCAAAATTTCCGTTCTTGGGGACATTCACTTATTTAAACTTAATGTATACCTTATACATATCTAATACTTATTTATTTGTTTATTCAATTATTTAATTATCCATTTATTTATTTATATATATATTTTTTTTAAATACCCATTCGTTTATACCCATTCTCAATCTTGTGATTCACCATTATATTGAATTCATGTATCTACATTATATTGTCATTTTAAATTGTTTGAAGAAACGCTCAATTTCATATATCCCCTCTGCCTGAATATAAAAAACCAACATTTTTAATGAGTCTGCAGCATTGTCCGATTCAGGGAATCTTTCCCTCAAAAAGCCAAGAAACCTTGGCCTCGCTGTCGCAAACAATGGACACTCGAATAAAAAGTGCAACAGTGCCCGCTCATCCTCCCCACAGATACAATCAAGAGTAAGATTCCACCCCTTTCTTCGGTACAGATCTACAGTACGGAAGTGCCCCGACCTCAGTCTATTAATTAGCACAATTGTGCACCTTCTCATCGTCAACCCCCCAAACCATGGCCTCCTACTCTTAACGTTAACAAATTGATAGTAATCATTAGTTGAATCTGAAATTAAACCTTACGGCCAACACACAAGGGACCATGAAATGTGATCCCTCCTGAGCACCTCTTTCAAATCACTAAATATAAACTGAAGACTCCTAATGAACGGTAGCTCCGCAGCAGTTTTTGCCAACCCGTCTGCATATTCATTGCCTACAATTCCTCTGTGTGCCGGCACCCACAGAAATCTGACTGGTCCCAAACCAAGGTTTATTGCCTCCTGAGTTAGTCTGTATATCTCCTGTACGCACGGTGAAGGCCGGTTACAGCTTAACGGCGAAGAACCAATCTGACCCAATGCCGCCCTTGAATCCGTCACTATTAGAATATTTTTCATATTTCGGAGTATTGCTTCCTGCAGCGCATAAGCGATCGCAATCAGCTCAAGAGTACGGATCGATTGTAAATCAGATACTCTTATTCCAAATTTTAGTTCTATATCAGGTATATAGAAGGAAATACCTGCCCTATTCGTATCTGGATTCAATGACGCATCCGTGTATATACAGGTAGCCGAAGGATAACTCTCAACAAGACAATCCCGTAAAGCCTCCATCACGTCAGCCGACTCTCGCATATTTTCTCCCGACAGCACGTCAATTTCCAATCTAGAATTAATACTGTTCCAGGTCATGTCGTAATATGAGGGACGGTTAGTTTTATTTAGCATATCTAAGATTCCTTCGACCGAGACAAAACTATTAAGCAGCCCCATCTTTTCTATATGTAATTTCTTTTCAACTTTTTTATTCTCCCTAAACTCCCTCGACAGATTAGCTAAGTTCCAAGTAGTTGGATTTTCATACCACTGAGCATTTCGGAGATGAAACGCATTCGACAAACATGCCCTCCTGAGGTTCGGAGAAACTATACCCGATTCTGAAAGAAGTATTGGGATAGGAGTTGTAGAAGCCATACCCAACACGGACCTCAATGCCGCATAAAGTATACCATCCAGTTTGTCCATATGCGTTTTTGCCGCCCGGTCAAAGAACATCGATCCCCAATGCAAACATGCATTCATCATAGTCTCGACTACCCCCAAGAGGACTGTCATAGAGGCACCCCCCTTCACTTTAGACAGAACCCTTATAATATTCAGGACACGACTGGACTTAACAGCAACTTGTTTAATGTGCGCATTCCACATCAATTTCTGATCAAGAAAAATACCTAAATATTTTATAGAATGTGAGCACCGAAGTAAATGCTCCCCAAGCTGTAAGCTATAATTCGACTTTATAACGTTGGTCGATCTAGTGAATATCGTAAACTGGGATTTCTGCGTTGAAATTTCCAAGCCTCGCTCAGCCAAAAATGGTTCTATTGCTCGAAATGCTTGACTAATTAAATTTCCAGCAATTGTGTGGTCCTCACTAGAAGCATACAAAAAGATGTCGTCGGCATACATTATTATTTTAACACCGTCCGGCAGTACTTTATGAACCTCCCTTAAGGCCAAACTAAACAATATCGGGGAGAGCACCCCTCCCTGTGGTACCCCTACACCCGACACTCTGACATTCTCATTCGGCCTATTAAAGTGTAAATTCTTGATTGCAATCATGTGACCAATGAAATTTATTATCCTGGAGGGAACTCCCAAACTCATCAGCTCGTCGACCACCTTGTCTGGTCTCACTGCACTAAATGCACCTTTAATATCCAGGGCCAGCGCAACAACGCTTTCATTTTGTCTAAAGGATCTATATATATCTGTTACGAGATATGCCACTGCATCATTCGACGATCTACCTCTCCTGAATCCGAATTGAAAGTACGGGAGCCAATCATTCGTCTCAGAAAGATACTCAAGCCGGCGTTGAACCAAGCGCTCGAAAAGCTTTGAAGGACTCGAAGTGAGTGAAATTGGTCTAATCCCTCCGCCTGCCTTCGGTATAAACTTGACCAAAGTCTGCCTCCAGCTGTTTGGGAACCTGCTGTTCAGAAACATTTCATTAAATAGATCAAGCAGAACATCATGAAATCGCGACGGCAAATGCTTCAATATTTCAAACGACATTGTATCCAAACCCGAGGATGATTTTGCGTTGGACGCCGATAGAGCAGATTTGTATTCTAACTCGGTGAATTCATCATTGAGTTGATGAGATCCGTCAAACAACAGCAGCGAATCAAATTTCATTGGAGGTACTTCTTCTCTCACCAGAAAATTTTTTAAATCTCTCACCTTGTCATTTTCCGGGTTATTATGTTGATCCACGTGTCTTTATCCAGCTCTAGTAATCATTGATCTGACAGAACTCCACGTTTTAGATAAGTTTTCCCTGAAATTCAATGATTCACAGAACTTCCCAAATGATTCAGTTTTAATTTTTCGTATCTTTCTCTTAATTTCATTATTTGATCTCTTATACCTTATTAGATTTTCCCTGGTTTGATTCGATAAGTATTCCTTCAAGGTATCCCTTCTCCTTTCTATAAGTTCCTCACACCTTTCATTCCACCAAAGAGGCTGAGTTTTTCTTCTTCCCTTCTTCTGGATAGGTCGATATGCTCCGTGATCAGTAAGTAATTCGACTGTCCTATCAATTAATCCCTCATATTTCAGATCCGATGAACAATCACCCAAGCCCTCCACCCATATAGGTAATTTAATTTCCAGATCATTGCCAAACTCTAACCAATCCACCTTTTTAACATTTAGCCGATGAGAAAACGATTCCATGGTAATTGGTCTAATCGATAAATCCATAATGAGAGGAAGATGGTCAGAACCATATGCATCCGTGCCGACCTCAAACATAATCTCAGGATGCAAGGTAAGTGGAACAAATGCAAGATCCAAGTTATTAGTCTGTTGCCCAAATTCCGGAACATGTGTGGGCAATTCGTCATTAATAGAGACATAACCACAGTTCTCAATTGCAGTTGCCAATTTATTGCCCTTCTGATCCGTTCTCTCAGATCCCCAGCTTGCAGAATGTGCATTGAAATCTCCACACACTAATCTAAATGCACTCGAGCCACCCGTATCCGCACCAAAAAATTCCTCCCAAGTCTCAATATCGGGATTTTAATCAGAAGGCGAATATACAACGAAACATTCCAATCTACCTCGAGGTGTATGAATCCTAATCCCGAGATACTCAGATGGATAAAAGTCACCCGGTTCCGTAAGCACAAACTCAACCTCAGATGTGACGATTTCATTAACAACCAAAATTGCGACTCCCCCACCTCTACCATGTATCCTATCCTTTCTATATACCCTGTAACCAAAAAAGAAAAAATTTTTGTCCGGTCGCAACCATGTCTCTGTGATACACACCACATGTGGCTGGTGCACCTGTACAAGTGTTTCCAATTCCGCTTTCTTAGGCAGTACCCTACCCCCATGTATTTTGGGCCGCTGATTACGAATCTGAAATCAGATTTTGAAAATTCAAAATGGCGGACAATTTTTTTAAATATTAACCCTTTCGTGCCCCCGGGCAACCTAGCTTATAGATTTTGTTGAAACTCGTCACTCGGGGGTTTTTGGGGTCGCTGATTTCGAATTTGAAGTCAGATTTTGAAAATTCAAAATGGCGGATCCAATATGGCGGACAAATTTTTAAAATTTTATCTGTTCCCCTTAAAACTCATTACTCGGGGGTTTTTAGGGTCGCTGATTACGAATCTGCAGTCATATTTTCAAAATTCAAAATGGCGGATCCAATATGGCGGACTAATTTTCAAAATTTTATCTGTTCCCCTTAAAACTCATCACTCGGGGGTTTTTGGGGTCGCTGATTACAAATCTGAAGTCAGATTTTCAAAATTCAAAATGGCGGATCCAATATGGCGGACTAATTTTCAAAATTTTATCTGTTCTCCTTAAAACTCATCACTCGGGGGTTTTTGGGGTCGCTGATTACGAATCTGCAGTCAGATTTTCAAAATT